TATGACCATTTTTCATATTTAAGATTTTTGCAGCATCCCTACAATCATAAGATCAAAATTCAGATGCTTGATGACAATTGGATCATATCGTATCCCAGGGTCATGTGATCCCCTTTTGCGACCTTTTGACAAACCAAGTCAATGGGGAAGCCAGATTTACTTAACAACCAGTTTATTAACTTGTCAACTGCAGTGATTCACTTAACAAGAAAAGCCGTAAAATGGGACAAAACTCACTCAACAAACGTCTCACTTAAAACAGAAATTTTGGACTCAATTGTGGTCATACGTTGAGGGCTACCTGTATTATGTGTGAACATGGTAACAACTATATTATGCGTGGAGACCACTGTTTCTGTGGCAGACTCCTTTTACCTTTCTTTATTCTGTGATGGTTTCTTGGCAGGGCTGGCACTACCATTTAGCAAAAGGAACAGATGCCCATAGGCGACATCAAGAGATCTGAGGTGAAAACTATGTGTCATAATGCTTATGCGCACTGTTTAAGATAAACTGTTGCCTTCATGTGTGGTGAGGATATGATCCTACTGGACATTCAGAAAGAAGATTCAATAACCAGTTCAGTAGGATTGTATGACTCCACCCGTGTAACTATGAGACAAACCTAAGAGCATAGTCGTGCCTCTTTCTACTATGAAATAACTGCACAAACACCTTAATGACAAAGATAATTGCCTAGAATTAACCATGACAACATCTTCCTGCTTTAGGAACCAAGTCATTCCTCCCTTTGTGAAACTCCTATGTGGCTGGTGCGTGCTGTAGAAAAGAATAAAAAAAAAAATAGTTCTGGAGAAGGAAAAATATTGGTTAACTAATGTTCCCCCTTCCTTCATCTTCATAATTAATTAATACAGTAATAAGCTGAGGATGGTAATCTTATTACTGTATTAATTAATTAATACTGTAAGCAATCTTGGACATATTTGCTCAGAAGCAAGCCATGCTAAATTCAAGAGGATTAATTGTTCAGTAAACTAGCTTATTTAAGATAAGAGCTGGTAAGAGGAAGTCAAAATCTTGGTTGTGACTAATACAGTTTTTGCTTTCAAAATAATGGGCCAATTTGTTTACTTGATTGGTTCCAGTTTTTTTTTTAATCAAATGCTTAGATCAAAAGTCTGTCAATAATTGGATCAGTGCCTGGCTGGGGAATTCAGGGAGTTGAAGTCCACACTTTTAAAAGTTGACAAGGTCGTAAAACAATGGACCGGATGAAGGATTTATTGTTTTCTATTGTAAAAGATGGAGGGATGGTGATAAATCTTCTAAGGTATTAATACATCCCTCATTGTCATAAGATACTTCATGATGCTGATTATACAGCAGTCTTTCATATAACTATGACCATTTCAGGTTACGGAGATGCTCCAGCCATGATGCTTTATATTTTGCTTGGACTGCTACAGTGTCCTGTATTTGGATCTGCTCTTGAAGACCATTCAAAGACTCTCCTGGCCTTTCATAAGACCTTAAAGACATCAGTTTGCCACCAAGAGTGAGGATTTGGATGTGCAGCACAGCCCATAAAGTGGTTATGTTGAATATAAATTGTCTTTTACTTGAATGTGAATTTTGGTAATTCGTTTATAGTGCCTGTATACATTTTTATGTGTTTATGATTGTATTAGGGGTTTTTAAAATATTTTTTTAAAAAATGGTTATAAATTACCCAGAGTCAAGTAGTTGGGTAGCTACATAAATCAAACTAATAAATAAATAAATACTTCAAAGGAATCAAAACAAAGTGAGCAAAATATTTACAGGTATAGCCACATTTGTGAATATTGTATCAATTTTAAACTTCATTAATACTGAATTAAATTGTACATTGTAGGCCCAATGCATGGAATTGATTCTTAATTTTCAAATAATAAATAAACAGCTTGGGTTACAAATACTTGACAGTGAATTATTATTATTTTCATGTCAGTCTACCCATGCATTAAGATTTTCTGTTGCAGCCCTTCTCCTGAACAAGAAGTGTTTAGTTTAATAACACAGGAGTTTTAGCTATAAAGTGCTTTTATATGTAAGTTCACCAGCCAATTAAACAAAATCCCTTTTATTAAGAAACTGTTTCTGTTGACTTATTCTGCCCCTCATCTACGATATCGCTGGTGGAGTGATAGAATTGCAGTGCAATTCTAAATTTTAAAAATGGTTGTACATAACCATGTTGCAGAAGGGATAAAAAGAAGGGATACCTTCTTTTGAAACACCAGTTGAACTGAATCTAGCTACTAAGTAGTTCACACTACTATTAAAATTATATATGCATATTAAGAAGCAACTCAGACATAATCTTGAAAGCTACATGTACAAGATTGCAGTGGTGTTTTTCCTACTTCATGCTTTTCCCTAATAGAGCAGGAGTGTCTCTGCGTATTTGGCATCTCATATATTTAATTCTTGGACTGATGCCTAGAATGAGAGCACGGCTTTTGTAGCATGACTCTAACACACACACACACACACACACACACACACACACCTTTCTCTTCCCCTTCTCCACTCTACTGATTTTTTGGAAGAAAAGAACCACTGGGTCCATGCCATGTTGACGGGGCTCCTTTTAACTCTCTGTGATCTCAGACAAAAAGTTACTGTTTATGATCAACCCATGGCCAGTTTGATTATAGTATGATGGTTGTCTTTATAATACAACGCAACTCATGTGATTCATGAATCAGTCTTTGGAATTACATTTGCAACTGATCTTCTAAACTTTCTTTGTCTCTCACGTTAGTTATATGTAATAATCCTCCTTTGGCTGATTACAGCAATTTAAATTACAGGCTGTGATCCTCTGGTTTTGATCTTTACAGTATTAAATAGAAGTTCTCTCGTACCTAAACAAATCTACATATATAGATGCAGCAACACGAGTAAATGCAGAAATAGTATATGCTTGAGTAGAGCCACCTCTGTGAAATAACAGAATACAGACCAACAAAATTGGAAGGGACTTTGGAGGTCTTCTAGCTCAACTCCCTGCTCAAGCAGGAGACATTATATCATTTCAGACAAATGTCTGTCTAATCTCTTCTTAAAAACCTCCAGTGATAGAGCTCAACCAAAAATGGGCAATATAAAAGCTTAATAATAAAATTACAATGGCTGTTGACTTCAGGCAGTCAGTGCAAAAAAAGCAAAATTATGGAGACATGTCAGGAAAAAAACATTGCTGAGGAATATTTGTGCCCAGGTTAGAGAGCAAAGGGAGAAAGGCTCATTGAAGGCAAATACTTTCTTAAATCTCTGCTATATAAATGAAAAGTGATGTTATAAAAAGGGAAAGTCCCTTTTGCAAAGGAGTCAGGACAATGATATAATTTCTAAAAAAAATCTCGAGAAGAGAGGAAAATAAGCTTTTTCATCTATTCCGTCAGCCATCTTGTTTCAGTACTGTACTGGTTTATGTTCATCAGCCATCTTGTACTCAGTTCAATACTGGTTTATGTACTGTAGAAGGAGGAATTGTACAGAAAAATAACACTCTTGACAATTATTTAACCTTTTAAAAATATGTAACAGTTTCCCTATCTCTTAGATTACAATTTCCATAATTCCCAGTGATTTGCATCTTTGAACAGTAGGAAAAATATAACGTGATTTAAGTAATTCAGCTGTGATGCTGGTTTCTTGTGGTATCTTATCAGCTTAGGAGGGAAGTTCAAGAATTCGGAGAGGACATAGAGAACGGCGTTGAATGGACAGGTAGAAGAGTAGCTACCAAAGCAGTGGTCAGATAAACGAGGCTTGAGCCCAGCCAAGAAAACAATGTGAGAAAACATCTCAGAGGAGTCCCTCCGTAGTTTACATGAAGGTAAACTGAGGGATGGGGAAGCGCATTCAAGCGTGCAAGATAGTTTCATAGTTTTTACAATCAAAATAGTCCTGACCTATGTGACATTAGTTTCTCTGATTCACCTTGTTGGGCTCACAGAATCTGCATTGGTTTCTTCTTAGTTCTCGTTCAGTTTATTTATTTACACATATACAAGTAATCCCTTGATTTATGACCTTAATGGAGCTTATTCACCACGGTCGTAAGTTGTGACGGTCATCATGCAGCCATTCCAATTTTACAACCTTCTTTGTGGCAGTCGTTAATCAAACATCACTGTCATTAAGTGAACCATTGTTTGGTAAACCATAATTTACCAAAAACTGGAAGTGAATGCTGGTTTCCAGCAAAATAATAAATTATGATCATGTGACTGCAGAACACTGCAAGTAGTCATAAGTCTGGGATGGTTGCCAAGTACCCAAAACGCAGTCCAGTGACCGTGGGGGCCAGGGTCTGCTGGAACTTTAGAACCTGGTCATAAGTGCCTTGTGGGGGGGTCTGTTATGTATTGAAAATATACAGTATAAAATTGTGTTAATCCCTGCTAAAGTGAAACTAACTTAACTCCAGCTGCTTGTGAAGCTAAAATGAAACTAACCTTTAGATGACCCTGAGTGTTAACTCCAGCTGTTTTGGAGGGAAACTTTGAACATTCATATTTGGGCGGGTTTTTCAAGTATTGTGATTGGTTAAGGCCCTGTGGGCTCAGAGTATAAGTTACAGGTAATTGCTTGCAGTTCTCCAGTTCTAGTTTGAGTCAATAAATAATGTTGTAACTATGCTGGTCTGTTCCTTGCCTACTGAAGCCCACTATACAATAGTGTCTGTGATGATTTCACTAATTAATGGGTTGTAAGTTAAGGACTACCTTTATATCTTTGGATATGCTGCCTCCTGCATGAATAATATCATTCTCTACCCAGAATAAAAGTAGCCTACTAAGTGCAAGAGAAGGCATCCTGCATTATAATATGCACATGCTGTCCCTGTGCCATATTTTATATTTTTTCTTCAGGGAAAATGGTTCTGTTTGATTCTGCTACATATATACATTATTCTAAATATTTCTGCTTTATTTTGTGTTTTGTGGCCTTCTTTTGGCAATGCCGTCTACTTTGTTTCTTAGGTACCCAGATGAGCTGTTTTTCTCCAAGTGCATTTTCTTGGCGTCAGGCTGCGTACGTGGATTCCTACTGCTGGGCTGCAGTTCAACAGAAGCAGCTGTCTCATAGTGAATCAGGGCATCTTCCCCTGTGGCTTCATAAGGTTTGTATAACCACCTAATTCTCTGTTTCATTTTTCTCTCTTCTCCTTATTTTAAACCCAGTTCTGAGAAGTCTAAGGCTACAAACATGTTCTATTCTGTGCTGGCTAGGGGATTCTGAGAGTGGAAGCCATCAAGCTTGAGAAACACTGCTCTATCATATATTAATTCCCTGTGAAATGCATGTTACACTTTGCCCATATGCTTTGATAAAATGAACTCTTTTAACTTACAAATGAGGTTGTTTAACTTTATTTTAAACATTTTTATTTATTGTGTGGCACATATAGGCTGCTGAGTCATAACTAACTATGGGTAGTGCACAATGTTCCCTCCTTAACAAAACAGAATTTAAAAAAAAACATTTTTAAAAATGGCAATATAAGGCTCTGCCAGTACTTCCAGTTCATTCCCTTTAAAACCAGCTCACTCCCATTAAAACTGTTTTCATAACTGGAGGGATAAACACCTCTTTCAACCACCCAGGGTTATTTGAAGACTATATAGACTTTCTAAATGCCAATGGGGAAGGAGACATAGGATCCTTGCTAGACTTTAGAACAGAGGTGGGGAACCATCGTCCTTGTATGACTTGTGGACTTCAACTCCCAGAATTCCTGAGCCAGCCATGCTGGCTCAGGAATTCTGGGAGTTAAAGTCCACAAGTCATAAAAGGGACATGGTTCCCAACCCCTACTTTAGAATTGTAGGGCTTGAAGGAACTTCAGTGGTCTTCTAGTTCAGCCTCCTGCTCAAGGTATGAGACTGACTAACCCAGATTGGATCCTGCAGGAAACTTTATACCATCCCAGTCAAATGGTTGTCCAGTTTATTTTTGAAAACCTCCAGTGATGTAGCACCCACCTCTCCAGGAGGCAAGCTATTCCATTGGTTAATTGTTCTCCTTGTCAGAAAAAGTCTTAGTTCTAGGCTAGATCTCTCTTTAACAAGCTTCCACCCATTACTTCAAGTCCTGCCCTCTGGTTCTTTGGAGAATGAGTCAATCCCCTCTTCTATATGACATCCCCCCGAGAATTGGAAGACAGTTATCATATCCATCATAATCCTTCTCTTTGTTAAACTAGGCATACCTAGTTCCTCCAACCATTTATCATATGGTTTAGACTCCAGGCCCTTGATCATCTTTGTTGTTTTTCCATGCATGCTTTCTAGGATATCAGTGTCTGTTTTATATCATGGTGACCTTTAAAAATGATAGCTATCATATTGAATTGTACCTAGAAGCTGACCTATTAACCAGTATAGCTCCCAAAATAGCAGTGTTATGTGGTTGCAACAAGGAGTAGCCATGATTACTTAGCCATCTGCCTTCCAGACGGTAATCATTTCTGAATGCTCTTCAAAGGTAGCCCCATGTAGAATGCATTGTAGCAGTCCAACCTGGAGGTGATTCGGGCACAAGTGATTGTAAACAGAGCCTCCTGATCCAGAAGAAATTGCAGCTCTTTAAATATAAATATTTAAAGCCACTTTCCTGAACCACATCCAATCAAGATTGCTGAGGACCGTGAAACAAAAATTCAATGCAAACTAGAAGGACAGAAGGGAGTGCTATTTAACACCAGCTTTTGCTCCTGATGCAGGGCAAGATAAAGATCTAACAAAATGTAAATCAACATTAACGCTTACCTTGAAGGATGTTTATCTAGCACATTTTCCTGATGTAGCAGCTCTGGATGAATTAGACTGCAACTCCCATAACTTAATGTCTTTCTTGGAAATGAATGGCATACACAGGATGCCAAGTTGCATAAGTGACAAGATTCCAAGTTCCTAACAAATATGTACTTTGTAATACATACTAAATACAAGCTTCAACCCTAAAAACTAACCACATTATATTGATATTTACCTGTAGTTCTTGACTTATGACTGGTTGCTTAACAACCATTCAGAGTTATGATGGATCTCCCAAAATCTACTTACAACCCAGTTCCAATAGCCATCACCACCCCTGCCTCACAATCATATGGCTGCATTTTGGGTGCTCAGCAGTTGACCCGTATTTATGGCTGTTTGCAGCATCCCACAGTCACATGGTCACAATTTATGATGTTTTGGCCCAAAACCAGTATTTCACGTCTGTTTTTGCAAAAACACATACTAATGGTTTGTTTAATGACCATGGCGTTTGCTTAATGACCCTGTGTTCGCTTAATGACAACAAGGATTTGTTCAATGACTACTGCAAAAAAAGGTTGTAAAATGGGGTTGGTCATGTGGGTTACCCGCTTTACAATCGTCATGACTTACGACCATGATGGGCAGGCTCCCTTTCAGTTGTAAGTCAATGACTCCCCATAGTCCCAAAAACTGCCATTGTTTACATATGGGAGTGCAAAACCCAGAATTCTTAGCTGGGATGTCTACACCAAATCATGTTCTGTGCATACATTCCCCTCTGTAAGATGTCAGAATATTTGGAGTTTCTGGTAGTATCAGTCTGATCTGCTGGATAATGACCGCAACAACATTACTTGATTTGTATCAGTCTGAATTTGAGTCCTGATTTAAGATTCTTTCTCCTGATTTTCTCCTTCAGTTTTTCCCATACATCCTTCTGCTGCTTGCCATCTTGCTGTACCTGCCGTGGCTCTTTTGGCGTTTCACCGCAGCACCCCACCTTTCTTCGGATCTGAAATTTATCTTGGAAGAACTTGACAAGGCTTACAACAGAGCCATCAAAGCTGCCAACAGTTGCCGGAATTGTGATGCCAGAGATGCAGCCAGCTCACCACCTGCCATTGAAAATATTGCACAGAGGTAAACATCTCTTTCTACTTTTCCAGTTTTTTTCAGACTTACCTTCTTCACCCAACGTGTTCTCTTCTGCTGGAGGACAAGCTTATGTGTCACCACACAGCCTGGTTAGATTTTTGCTTCAAGGATGATGAAGTTGCTGAATAGGTCTTACACTAAGGAAGTAAAGTTTTTGGGAAGAAATGGATAAAATTGGATATCCTGTATCATCTAGAATAGCGTTTGCTGGGATATTCTAGGAGTTGAAGTCCACACATCTTAAAATGGCTAAAGTTGGGAAACACTGATCTAGAAGCTTTGTGTCTGACTCCATCATGGCTCTCTTGAGTGGCACCTCAAAGACCACGTTGAACTGTCATAAAGATAGGAAATGTGGAGTCATCCCTTTATACCCCTTTCAGAATAGCCGGGAGAGGGTGGATCAAAGTTTTCAGTGTTGATGGTGGTTTGTTCTCCAGGTTAGCTTCCAAATGTTTCATCACCAGGCTAGGTGTCCTCCTTCTCAGTGGGACTTCATTTGAAGGGTCTTTTTTTTTCAGTTCTTCTTTTATTGTTCTCTTGTGATCATGTGGCAGTTTTCAGTCTTTTTTAAGATTGTTGGTGGACTTTTAGGGATTTCAAGGAGAAAACAAGTACCTTGAGTTTTACGAAGGGCCTTTGTACCTGTTGTTCCCATTAGCCTCTTCTCCCAAATCAAGCAAAATTTCCTTGTGGCTTCAGGTCCTTTGGTTGCTACTTTAAACCCTATAATTGCCCCCTCCCCCATGTTAAGCCCACCCATTCTGAAGATGTCACCAGCCTTGCCACTTGTAGCCCTTAAAACAAAAAGTCCACCGCACTCCCTTTTTAAGGAAGTCCAACTTTTTGGCCACAACAAACTGGCCCCTCTGCCCTACAAAGGAAGTGGATACCAGTTCATAGATTTTAGCATTGGGGTCAGCATGTTATTTTAGATACAGAATAGAAAATGTTGAGCAGTGTTTCTCAACTTTGGCAAGTTTAAGTTGGGTGGACATCAACACGGCTGGGTGGAAGCTGAAGTCCATCCATCTTAAGCTTGCCAAGGTTGAGAAACACCGGCCTCACTGTGATTTATGTGCATTTACTTCAGTTAATTCCCTAATGGGCTGTTTATTGTGCATCGCATGAATATTCATGTTTAATCTTCCTTTTCAAAACACCCTTCCCTGTTTATTTGGAGGATGTCCATAGGTGAAGATAAGAAGGAGTGGTTAATGTTCTGTCACTTAATCAAATTAAACCCAAGGCAGCTTAAGGCAGAATGTTAACTATTTTTGAGTAGTCCTCATTATAAGCACTCTCTTACAAAAAGTGTAAGCCATCATAATGAGTTGGAATTTCAGATGGCACAAAACTCCGTTGGGTGTGCCAGGGCAGATTCACACAGATTAAACATATTTGCTTATCCGGAGGTTCAGTTAAACTGATGTTGCTGTGTCTTTTGATTTGAAACCAGTCCTCTACAGGTAGGCCTCAACTTAGGACTGCAATTGAGTGGCCACAGAGTGAATCTGGCTTCCCCATTCATTTTGTCTGTCAGAAGGCCACATAAGGTGGTCACACGACCCTGGGACACTGCAACCACCATAAATGCATGCCAGTTGCAAGTGTCTGAATTTTGACCACGTGACCAGGGGGATGCTGCAATAGTAGGAAATGTGAAAAATGGTCAGTGCCGATGTAATTTTGAACTAAATGAATAGTTGTAAGTCAGAGACTACCTTTGCAATAGTTCTCAAGCTTTATGAGTATAGAAACATTCTTCTGAGCATTTTCTTTTACATTAAATTACAAATAGTCCTCAAAGTTACGACCTATCTGAAAAAGGGGAGTTATCGCCCAATTCCAAAGTTCCAAGAGTTGGGCCCACCCACAATCATTTTGGGGCACTCGTCAACATGAACACATTTACAGCTGTTTGTTGCATTTCAGTCACAGGATCTCTATTTATAGAACATAGAATAATAGAGTTGGAAGGGGCCTTGGAGGTCTTGTAGTCCAACCCCCTACTTGAGCAGGAGACCCTATATAATTTCAGACAAATGATTGTCCAATCTCTTTTTGAAAGCCTTCAGTGGTGGAGCACCCACAACTTCTGAAGGCAAGTTATTCCATTGGTTAATTGCTCTCACTGTTAGGAAAATTCTCCTTAATTCCAGGTTGCTTCTCTCGGTTAGATTCCAACCATTGCTTCTTGTCTTGCCTTCTGGTGCTTTGGAAAATAGTGTGACCCCCTCATCTTTGTAGGAGCTCCTCAAATATTGGAACAGTGCTATCATGTCCCCCCATTTCTTCTTTTCATTAGACTAGACCAGTGGTTCTCAACCTTTTTAATGCCGCGACCCCCAACCGGTCGTAAGTCAAGGACTACTCAACCGGTCGTAAGTCGATTACTCAACTGGTGCAGCACCGTTTGCAGAATGGGACTTTTGGTGGGCTCAGAAGGGCAGAGACAGCCTGGACAATTCTTATTGGCTTTTGAAAGCCAATAGAATTAGACTCTATTCAAGAGAGTCTATTCTATTGGCTTTCAAAAGCCAATAGAATAAAAGGAAGTAGCACAGCTAAAGGGGGAAAAAATGGCGGACTGCATTGTTTAGTGACCCCCGTGAAATGGTCGTTCGACCCCAAATGGGGTCCCGACCCACAGGTTGAGAACCACTGGACTAGACAAACCCAATTCCTGTAACCGTTCTTCATCCATTTTAGCCTCCAGCCCCCTAATAATTTATTGTTGTTCTTCTCTGCACTCTTTCCAAAGTCTCAACATCTTTTTTGTATTGTGGTATTCAAAACCATGCCATAGTGAATAGTGGGTTCACTTAACTGCCACGGCATTCATTTAATGACTGCCGTATTCGTTTTATGACTACTGCAAAAAGGACATCAAATCAGGTTAGTCCCATGAACAACCCATTTTATAACCATTGCAGCATACAGTCTTAATGGGCAAAGCCCATTACGGTCATATGTTGAGGCTTACCTGTATTGTTTTAATCGTGTTTAAATTTTGGAGAATTGTCAATTATTCCCAACTTTAATTTATTTTCAAATGTTGAAAAATACATTGAAACAGGAGGGAGAAGAATACTGGTACCTGGGAATGTTGAAGTATTGGGTACTAAGTAATTTTTAAAGCAAGTGAAATCCTAATATAACATTCGTGGAAATTGGCTCTTTTGTTTTCCAGTTTATGGGAGATCTCTGACAGCCACTTTAAGTACCCTATTGTGGAACAATATCTGAAGACAAAGAAGGGCTCCAAGAGCTTAATCATCAAATACATTGTTTGCCGTTTGCTAACTTTGATCATTATCCTCTTTGCTTGCCTCTTCCTGGGTTATTATATCAGCCTTTCTTCCTTGACCGATGAGTTTATTTGCAACGTCAAAACTGGGATACTAAAAAATGACACGAACATTCCGGAACGATTTCAGTGCAAAATGGTTGCCGTTGGTGTCTTCCAGCTGCTGAGTTACATCAATTTCATCGTGTACGTGCTGATCACACCGCTGGTGATCTACGCCTTCTTCGTCCCTCTCAGGCAGAGCTCGGACATCCTGCAGGTCTACGAGCTTCTGCCGACATTTGATGTTCTCAAAGTCAAAGCAAAGCACTACAACGATATGAGCCTCTACCTGCTTTTTCTGGAGGAAAATGTGAGCGAGCTGAAATCTTACAAGTGCCTCAAAGTCCTGGAGAGCCTCAAAGGCAGCGGGGAGAGGTTTGATGCCATGCAGCTCCTGAGGAATCTTGGCTCGATTAAAATGGACGCCGTGGATGCCAAACCAAACACCCCCCACAAGGAGAGTAGGAAAAAAGCTGAAGTGGAAATGTCAAATGATGCAGCAGAATTAAAAGGTAACATTATCTCCCTTTGTGTTTATTTTTTTCTTTGTTTAGGTAGGCCAGTGATGGCGTGCCTGTGACACACGCTGTTTTGGTGATACACCAGCAATAACCAACACCTGATGCCTAGTGCTGCTGTTCAGGGTGGCTTAGATTGGGGAGAGAAGTTAGAGAATTGTTTCTCTTTTGCTTGGGGTTTTTTTTGGGGGGGGGGTGAGATGCCAGCAGAGTCTAGTTAGGCATTTTCTGAATTTTTGACACGGCAAGACCAAAAGTTTTGCTATCGCTGAGTTAGGTTGTAATCTGCTGCTACAAGTAAACTCTACTGCACATTTACAAATGTTAAACTATTATACTGGGAATAAAACAGTTTCAATAATGCAAAAACAGCATTGTGTCATAGCAAATTTGCAGAGGAATTACTTATTTATTAATATTGCTTATGGGAATATTTGAGATTTAAGGTTTGGATCAAACATGGAGTTGCGTTCACTCACATGATTGAAGGGGCATAGAGACATTAGTAATAATGCAATTTCCTAGGCATTGTTTTAATGATCTCAATTATATTAATCAACCAATCTTAGTCTAAAGTTTAATAAGGACATGTTTTGATTTGATTGATGCATTAGAATATTATAGGTAGGCAGACAGGTAGGTAAATAAAAGGGGAAAGAGACAAATCCCTACAAATAGCATCCACTAACATACTGATTTCAGATACATAATATTTCATTTACTACCTATAACATCAAACATATCTTTTCATGTAATACCAAGATGATGGAAAATAAAAATGGCTTATTGAAATTTTTTTGCTAAAAAACATAGTTTTAGATACCCATAAGATCACTTTTTAATAATATAAAAACAATTCTGCTACTTTCATATTTATAAATCTAATTTAAGTAAATATGTATCATGATATCTATACCTTTCAGTTTGTTATTTATTGCAACATATATATGAAAATTGTATATTATAAACTTTTCATGATTGAATTAGTTCTCATGACAGGTTCCCAATCTGGGTTTAAATGATGCATGTTTTGTTAAAATTTCTAGCTAGTGAACTAGTTGGTATTTTAAAAAGGAGGTACTATTTTTTAACAGTTTTCGATGCTCTTAACCATTCATTCATATTGAATACTGTGGTCTTAGCACAAAGGATATAAAATATAACATTTCTAATCAAAACATAATTTTGGCACAATTTGTGGAAGTAAACTCTGCTGAGTTTAACGGCAACTCTAAGGGTTTATGTCAGGCATAGCAATACTTCTAATAGACCAGTGTTTCTCAACCTTGACAATTTTAAGGCATGTGGACTTCAACTCCCAGAATTGGGAGTTGAAGTCCACATGCCTTAAAATTGTCAAGGTTGAGAAACACTGTAATAGACCCCCTGAAATCAATGGATCTTAATTTAATTGAATGAATTGAGACCCGTTGACTTACATTGTGTCTTTCAAACTTGGCAACTTTTAGATGTGTGGACTTCAACTCCCAGAATTCTCCAGGTAGCATTTCTACACATCTTAAAGGTACCATTCTGATTTATATGACTGTCATCCAGGGGTCTTGAAACTTGGCCCTTTTATGACTTGAGGAATTCTGGGAGTTGAAGTCCACAAGTCATAAAAGGGCCAAGTTTTATAATCTATAGACTCACCTGGTTTAAATGTTTGGTATTTTAAAATATCAGCCTTGACATTGGTCTTAGTCACCTATCCTCTTTCTTTCTCAAGTTATACTTATTCCAGGATTAGTATTGCATTTCAGCCTAGACTTAATTCTCTTCAGTCATGCTTATAGAGCTCTGAAATAAAATAAAAGCAGACTACTCTGTGCTAGTGCTTTAATTAAAAGGATATAACAAATCCCTTTCTGACCTTCCTACAGATCTGACGGAGCCAAAATTGCCTGATGACACTGAAGGAACAAGTAAAGATGGCAAACTTCGCCAGAGACTTCTAGATTCTTCTTGCTGATGGATTCAGTCTGTGCTTAATAGGTGCTAAAGCTGCTTCTAACTGCTGAGGCATAAAGCCATAACTATTATACCACACAATTGCCTTCCCATTGAGTTTACAAGGACCGGGATACAAAGGCAAATGATCGTTTAAAAATATTTGAGTTGTCTGTGTTTACATGTCTACAGTTTACATGAATATTATGCCTAGAGAAACACTGACGAGGTGAACTATGTCAGTTCTGTTAGGGAAGAAAGACTGAAGTAGTGAATTTAAAAGAAAAGCAGTAAAATAAAGAGAACACTTCAGATTGGTTTCATAGATGTGTAGACATCAGTTCCTTATTATCCACTATCTTCAGCCATAACAGAGTGTCCAGATTGGGTCCTCAAAAAACAAATGGACAGCAATCAATATAACAGTTGGCAATATAACAGTGACATTACATATACCCATCATGTAAGTAAGTCAAATATTGTATTTGTTGGTCTATGCCACTTTGAATAAAACTATGGAAGCAGACAAGTTTCTTTACAAGTAGCTCTGCAGATAAAGTGTCTGTTATACCTCTCACTTGTGCCTGTCTCCATGAGATTGTACAATTCAGAGATGGAGAACTGGTGACTATCTACAAGTGGATAAACACCTGTTATCCCTGTTGATCATGCTGTTGTCGGGAGCTGGAAATGGTACCTCAACAACCTTTGAAATTCCACAGTTTCTATGCAACATGAAATACAATATATTCTGATAATACCACCATTTATAGAACTATCTTAAAGTTAGTAGCTTCAGGATAATGGAACAGAATATCCCCCCACTAAAAAAATGTAAATGCTTCCTTGACTCTTGACATTGCCTGCCTGTTTTTTCTACTTCATTGCTGTACTTCACTGCTACTTCAAAATTGTCCAAATATCTATATCCCTTTTTCTAGGAAGCTGCCATTCTAAGAAGACAACAGTGATAATTCATCATATTGCAGTTCAAGGACTAAAAATACAGATGTTCTTTATCTCAGTCTCTGCATATTTTCTCAAACCAGACATAATCGTGTACTTCTGCATTTCTTCGGTACAAAATCATAGCCACCTGCACAACTGTGCAGAAATATCCACAAGAACTAAGCTTGGAATCATAAACCACATCTTCAATGTAATACAACGTAAGAAGGAATACTCATAAGTAACAGGAGCAATTATTGGGAAAGAATTTATCTGTTGTCAAGGCTGCCAGTAACTAAAGATTTCAAAGAATTGTGAAGTTTCAAGAAAATATTCTGGAAAAAAAGAGTTATTGGTGGCTCTTCATAGTCCTTTCAAATCAGTTGATTTTATAAGAATTGGACGGAAATCTTATGATAAAATTAAAATCAGCTCTGCTAGTTGTACAGCATTCAGAAGGGTTATTAATTAAAAAACAATAATAAAGGAAAATACACAATGTCTTTGCATTTCCTCTCTTGTACGTAAATGGAAACAAGTATAAACAGTTTTGCATGGGGAAACAGATTTGATTCCGGTTCTTGTATATTGCTTAAAAAGTCTTAAGGCTGTTAGGTGCCTAAAGAGAATCTCAGTTTACATTGGACAGGCAGTGTCAGCAATTGGCAGGATTAAGAAAGATAGACTAAAGGTTCAGTTAATTTATTTTATTTGTTCCTGCACGATGGAGTTATTTTATATTCATTTTAGCAGAGTAGTTTTGCATGAAATACCTGCAGGATGATAGGCCACGTAGTGAAAATGGGAAAAAATTACTTGGGAGTAATATTGTGGTAATCATGAAATAGTGTAACTGTGTAGTATGACTGTAATAAAATTATTATTTAATACCAAGATGTTTCAATGCTTCATTCTGGCTGGCTCGACACAGCTGCTCCTACTGAATTGTATTGGGATTGTTTTATAATTATTATGCATAACAATTTAGAAAATTCTTATTGCCCAGAAATATTTAAGGAGCTGTGATGATTAGCATTTGGCGTGATGGGGAAGGGTAGAATAAAGCGACTAGCTTTAAGAGGTCTGGGGGCTCAGTTCCCCAATCCAGGCAGCTAGAGAAAAAGACTCATACTTTTTAAGAGGGAGAGGCAGTTCTTGTAAGGACATTTTCTTGGTACCCTTTCTGCCTCCTTGATAAGGTAATGAAATGTCTGCAAGAAAACAACCAAACTCGGAGAGCACCAAGGACCCTTCATGTCAACCCTGAGCTACAAATATTCTCCTTTATTGAAATGCCTTTGTCTGAAACCATTGGCGAACCACAACTAGTAGATAATTTTAAGCCAAATTAATGAACTGACCTTCTGAGGAAGTCTTGTTTCTGCCATGTATTTGCTCACAACTGAGCACAATCTCAGTACACACAATAGAATCAGATCTCACTTTGTTGCTGAAGTGAGAACAAGTCCTAGGCCAGTGGTGGCGAACCTATGGCACGCGTGCCAGAGGTGGCACTCAGAGCCCTCTCTGTGGGCACACGCACCATTGCTCCAGCCGTGCCTCCTATGGCCCGCTCCTCACCAGCAGCCCCCCCCCCCGAGGATAGTCGCCCCCGGGCGCAGCCCACACAAAGCAGCGCAGCCAAGGACATGATAGCAGGGCAGCGGGGACAAGACTCTGCCCTTGTGCCCCATCATGTGCAGATGATGCTGTGGGGCAAGGATGGAGGGCGTGGCCACCATGGCGCTGCTGGGCTGCCTGGGTGATCTGTGGTGGGCTATGGGTGGGTGGTCCAATGGGCAGGGCAGAGCGGGGACGGGTGGGAGGGCAATTTTTGGGCACTCAGTCTCTAAAAGGTTCACCATCACTGTCCTAGGCTATGTCCAGCTTTTTCAGATAGTAGTGCATGACGGTAGAATTTCCCTATGAAATGGATCACATAACAACTACCATTGCCATGCTGGACAATGAAGGAGATACAATAGTCGTGTGCTAATAAAGAAATTAGAATAAAAATATAAATGTTTCTGTCATTAATATGTTTATTGTATAGTTACTTTATTAGATGTCTTTGAGTTGGCTTTGGCTCTAGTTAACTACAGGGTGATGGCAGACAGAGAGCTATCTTGTTGGAATAAGGTCTCCTTCAAAGAAGTTTGATTCTCAATGATTTTATGACTATGCCCACATGGTTTTGATCAGAATCAGATTCAGAACAGAGCTGGAAGGGACCTTGGAGGTCTTCTAGCCCAACCCCTGTTCAAACAGGAGACCTTATACTGTTTCAGACCAATGGCTGTCTTTTCTTAAAAACCTCTAGTGATGAAACATCCATATCTAGAGGCAAGCTGTTCCACTAGTTAATTGTCCTGTTAGGAAGTGTCTCCTTAATTCCAGATTGCTTCTCTCCTTGATTAGTTTCCATCCATTGTTTCTTGCCTTCTGGTGCTTTGGAAAATAAGTTGATTTCTGTGTTTTCTTGGAAAGAAATGAAGTGGTTTACTATTGCTCTCTTCAAGGATGATTCTTAATTTCCCATTAATGTCTATGGCCATGGTAAATCTCATATAAATCCTATAAATCTTCCTTGTTGTATTAAGAAATGGACAAAAATTTCTCCAAGCTTACGTGCTGAATGGATCAACAGGTATCAGAAATGTTAGTTACTGATGCCCACATTTGGGAGAGGGAGCACACCACTGTTTCCCCGAAAGTATGGTCTATCCAGAAAATAAGAGCTAGCTTCATTTTGGGGTGTCGGCCTAATATAAGCCCTACCCCAAAAATAAACCCTAGTTTTGGGACAAGGCACACTTAAAAATCAAGCTAGGGCGGGGTGGGGTATGTGGATCTGCCCCACAGGCTCCGCACCACTTACCTGTCAACCGGGCCTCTCCTCATAGACCCACTTCTGCAGCCAGGCCTGCATTTCTCAGTCACAGACCTTTCTGGAAGGCCACTGCAGCTGAGGACTGAGCTATGGATTCAATCCATAGCTTGGTACTCGGCTGAATAGGCCTTCCGGAAAGGCCTCTGACTGGGAAATGCAGGCTGTAATACAGCTGCAGAATGAAGCTGCTCCTTTGGCGGCAAAAGAAGTGGGCCGGCTGGGCAGGCCTGTTGGTGCTGGAGGAGAGTATAAAAGACACCTCCCGAAAATAAGACCTGTGCCTCTTTTGGAGGAAAAAAAAAAAAAGACCCAGTCTTATTTTCCGGGAGACACAGTTGAAATAAAAGTTCACATATTGCCCAAATATGTATGTAGCTTTGGATTATTTTCCTTAATATAAATGAACAAGGAAGTTTTTCATTCATTTGGGTTCTCTTTATCTAGTTTTAGGATTTGTCTGGAGAACATATGTTTTATTTATGCAGAAATATTGAAAACTCAAAAGATTCACAAACTTTTAAGTACCACTTTACATACTTGCTTCTGCATCTAGAGCAACTTCAGAGTAGAAACATTTAAAAAAAAATGTGTAGTCTTTTAAAATTAATTGATACAGTACTGTAGATGTACTTTACATAAAACTAATATCACCAAATTAAATTCTCAGAGTTAAGGGCAGCAAGAGAGAAAAACAGTTTTGGAAATGCAGGGAAATTTTAGATTAGAACATTAAAACTAGCCTGCAGGGAAATGTGGAATAGGAAATCAGAAAAGGTACCACAAAGCAATTTATTTATGAGGGGCCCTTGGTGCTCTCTGAGCTTAAATGTTTTTTTTACAGATTTTTCATTACCAAACTAGGTAACATCATTATCTAGTTTGGTAATAAAACGTCTGCAAGAAAAAAAGCAAACTCAGAAAGCACCAGGGACCCCTCATCTCAACCCTGAGCTACAAATATTTTCCTCTATCAATCTATGACTGCACTTTCACTATTCTTTTTTCTTAATACAACATAAATGACCTCTATTGGTTTGTCAAAAGAAATAAGAACAAACATGTCAGAAACTTTTATTCCATATCACACATTTCACATCCCTTATACAATTTTCCGGGGTTTATAAAATAAATTTAAAATATAGTAATCAACAGTGGACTTTCCATGGTAAAATATATTGCATTGCACAGTATTTCCAAGGCCAACATGGTTTTGAAGCTTCATCCCATACTAAAGCCCCACACTAAAATTCAGTATTGAGGTTACTTTAAAGGACATATTTCCCAACTGATTTTTGGTTTTTGAAACCACTGAGATAAGCAGATGCAAGTTGGGCGAAGTTAAACTGAGGAAAAAACAAATTTATCTCTGCTTGAAAGTTTCTCACAATTTTTACTTTCTGAGTATATCAATGAAATTATTGCCAAGTTTACTACTCTGGGCTCTGAATCACACCAGCTCAGTTTCAACTTATTAAACTATAACTAGCTCCCTCTGAAAATCCCAGAAATGATTATATGCACCCCATTATGAGGAGTTGCTTTAAAACTTATATAAGTATTAAACAGGTTTGTTTTACTTTTATCCTGGTGTTCGGTTTTTTTTCTATATTTTATTGATGAATGTTTTTTTTTGTGTGTGTATGTGTGTGTGTGTGTTTGTGTGTGTGTGTGTGTGTGTATTGAAATCCTCCTCACTATAGATTGTCAAAAGGATTCATGTTTTATATCCAAGCATCCAGAAGACCTTTTTCTTTTTTAAAAAAACTGTAAGGCATCCATGTCAGTCAATCAAGCTGCATCTAATTTCATCAAATCATTGATTTCCATAATCAGTTTTGATTCTGAGTATTGCCTCTTTTATGAAAGCTGGAAACTTGTAAAACATGGAATGCAGGAATGGAGTTCGTTCTCTTACCCAACCAATTCTAATTTATTCCTTTATAAAATGAAAAAAATCACGGGAGATAAAAGAGCCCTCTGAAAGAAATGCTGTGACACATTTCCTTTGCCTTTAAGTTTGGATACAGAAACTGCTATCTCCATTCAGGTATGATGTTACTCTGAGTAGGGAAGTGACTGGAGTTTGGTGACTCCTTGTTAGGAGAAATGAGGGACCATTTTTCCTGAATTCTCTTTTCTCCCAAACAGCTCCAGAATTTTCCTAACTTCCCAGTCCTGGACAGATTGTACGAGTCACAAGGTAAGAAGACCTCAGTGAAAACTGCCACCCCTAAGGGGGAATATTCCTTTTTACACATTTCCACTCAGGTGAACTGAGTGATTTAGCAGGATATTTGTGCACGTCTGCTGGCATTGCAGATTGAGAATAAGGAAGCCGTCTTCTTCAAGGAAGCCATCAGTTTCTAGACAATACAGTAAAATTATGGAGAACAAGGTGCCAACATCTGAGGTCTCCTTTGCAGAATTTGGAGAAGTCATTTTTGCGTTTTCCTTCCATGCTTTGGATACGGAGGTTATCATCTTTTCTTTCTCGAAGTGGAAACAAATAATTCATCCTGTAAATTAATGACAGGTATTTCACTGAGATGTTATATGGTTAAGGAGAATAATCCCCTTTGGATAGGTCAGCTGTATCAGTGTATGATAATACATAGTGGGATCCAAATATTTTTTTAAAAAAAGTTTTGAATTTGGATTCTTCACTGACTTTGCTCCCAATCTTACCTTCTTCTCTCCCTATGGAATACAACACCAACACCAGCAATAGCACTTAGACGTATATACCGCTTCATAGTGCTTTAAAGCCCTCTCTAAGCGGTTTACAGAGTCAGCATATTGCCCCCAACAATCTGAGTCCTCATTTTACCAACCTTGGAGCATGGAAGGCTGAGTCAACCTGGAGCCTCATCAGGATCGAATTCCAGGCTGTGGGCAGAGTTAGACTGCAATATTGCATTCTAATTGCTGGACCACCACTATCCCACAGCTACAAGAAATAATTCCTGGCAACAACAGCCAACATTCAAAGTTTCCTCCTGCTTTTAGAGATCACTAACTTTCTAATTTTCTGGCAAAATAAATCACCTATTATGATTCTCCTCTCCCCCTTCAATTATGTCTAATTCTAACAAATTGCCTGGACAATCCCTGCAGTTTTCTTGATGGGTTCTTCAGAAGTGGTTTGCCAATGCCTCCTTCCTAGGGCTGAGAGAAAGTCACCAGGATAAGGTCAGCCAGCTAGCAGGCTGGCTGGGGAATTCTGGGAGTTGAAGTCCAGACATCTTAAAATCGCTAAGGTTGAGAAACACTGATTTAGGTATAGGTAGGTAGGAGGTAATGATAGATAGATAGATAGATAGATAGATAGATAGATAGATAGATAGATAGATAGATAGATAGATCCATCTATCCATCTTTCGATATAAAATTTATCTTATCTTATCTATCTATCTATCTATCTATCTATCTATCTATCTATCTATCTATCTATCTATCTATCTATCTATCTATCAAGATAGCAGTGACCTATCTGATGCCCAGCAGTGTGAGAGGCAAGTTCTCCCAGGACTTATTTCATGGCATTTATGTCTGCATTGTTCTTTGAATTTACAGTAGGCAAAGCCTTTTACAGAACAGAAGATTTAAGATTTCAATGAAATAACTGAATTCAGTGCTAATAACAAAGTTCATACATTACTACCAACATATGAATCAGTGTCGTATGGAGAGAGACAGAGAGAGAGAGAGAGGGAGAGAGAGAGAGAGAGACCTTTATTGTCATTTTTTATTGTGGGCACAATGGCACACTAAAAATTAAATTTAGTTGCTTGCTCTCAAAGTGTACACACATAACACACATTTAAAGATACTATACACAATATATGCAAATAAATATGTAAATAACTGACTGCTTCTCTGTATATATCAGTGGTGGCGAACCTATGGCACAGGTGCCAGAGACGGCACTCAGAGCCCTCTCTGTTGGCACACGTGCCACTGCCATCAGCAGCAAGTCCATCAGGCTGCCACCGCTGCCCGGAGCAGGAGCCCCACCCAGCACAAAGAAGGCGAAGCGGCCGACTAGCAAGCTCGAGTATTCCAGTCCACCAACCATTGTCGATTGGTGGACTGGAAGAAAAGGGAGGGGGAAGCATTTTACATGCGTGCATGCGCACATGGGGCCGCAAGCACATATGCGTTGCAAATGGGACGGGACGTGCCAAAGGCGACACTCAGGGGCATCTCCTTGCTGATGCGGCCCTGGCACTTTGTGATAAATAAGTGGGTTTTGGGTTGCAGTTTGGGCACTCGGTCTCTAAAAGGTTCACCATCACTGGTATATATAGTTATCTGTGGCTCTTGCTGCTTCAAAGAATCTATGCCTTAATGAACGGAGTAAAACAGCATGATAAGGTTGGAAATACTAAGAGACAAAAAAGAATTTACACAACTCTAAGGTTTAATGAGGCTGATGATGAGGTTACCCCTATCTTTTATTACAGGGTTTCTTGTTAGGATCCTTGTTAGGAATAAGGAATTTTGAAGAGATGTAAAAAGCACTAAATATTGCTCAAACATTTTGCATATGGATTGAAGGAAGTACGATGGAAAAAAGATTTTATACCTCATCTGATTCAAAGGAAACACCTTTTGACGTTTGACTCTGAGAATTCCTCTGGCTTTGCGTTGATGTGGTTGGTAATCTAAGTATTATAAGAAGGAGACATTATCACTCTCAGTGAAATCATGATACCAGAATTCAATTATAAACTATTCAAGTTTCTAATTTGTTTCTAGTCCAGTTTTCAAATGTTGGCTCTTATCTCTAAACTCCCAACAGATCAGGGCCACACTATCAGAAATACTGTTGTGTCCGAAAGAAGTTGGAATTCCAATTTATGATGCGTTATGGGCTTGTTCTGCATTCTACAGTGAAAGAGAAATTAGGGGGATAGTAAACAAAATGGCTTCCAAGAAGGCCTGACAGCAGAGCCTTACCTAGATTTAGGCCTGTCCCCGATTCTCAATGCATTCTGACCCTTCACTGCATTTTAAAAAATGTCTTTGTTTTGCTCTACTTCAATTTGCACTTTTATTTATTTATTTATTTATTTATTTATTTATTTATTTATGAGACTTATATACCGCTTTAAGTGCAAGCACTCTCTAAGCGGTGTACACCAGTAAGCAATGTATATATATATTTACATTGCCCCCAACAATCTGGGTCCTCATTTTACCTACCCCGGAAGGATGGAAAGCTGAGTCAACCTTGTGCCGGTGAGATTTGAACCGCTGACCTGCTGAACACAGTCAGCTAAAGTGGCCTGCAGTACTGCACCCTAACTGCTGCGCCACCTCGGCTTTTGCATGAGAATGGGTTTTTTTAATTTTTATTTTTCCTTTTTCTCTTTACAAACAACAAAATACAAAGTACGTTTTTTTCTTTTTTCTTAACAATACTATATCCTATATCTCTTACATTTATTTACATTACTTCTCATACTTTTTTATTCCTCAATTCTAACTAATTGTAATACATGTCCCATATCTAATAAAATTCTGTAACTTCTTTGTCCTTTATTTCTAAGTTTGTTCATCTCAGCACAATCTAACATCTTACGTATAATCATTGCATTTGTTGGTATGTTTTCCCTTTTTCAGCATTGCGCATATGCAATGCGTGCTGCAGTTATTATATGTATAATGATGTATTGAAATTGTTTTCCCATTTTTGGATTGATTATGCCTGGTAGAAATATTTCGGATTTAAGTTCAATTTGTTGTTTTGTTATTTCCTGTATCCATCTCCTTATTTGCTTGCTTTGGGGCATTGCCACCACATATGATAAAATGTTCCTTCCTTATTTTTGCATTTCCAACAATCCGGATTCATACTTTTATATATCTTGGCCAATCTCGCCAGTGCTAAATGCCATCTGTAGAACATTTTATATTGGTTTTCTCTGTATGCAGTTGACAGCGTTAGTTTGCAATTTCTGTTCCATATTTGCATGAAAATGGTTTTAAGGATAAATATAGCCTTAAATACATACAGCCTTTGGGCATAGGATTGCTGACTTTAAATGAACAGAGAAAAGGCATTTAAAAAAAACAAAGCAGTGAACTCACATATTACAGGTAGTTTTCGAGTTATGACCACAACTTAGCCCCAAAATTTCTGTTGCTAAGCGAGCTAGTTGTTAAATGAATTTTGCCCCATTTCATAACCTTTCTTGTTAAGTGAATCACTGCAGTTGTTAAGTTAGTAACATGGGTTGTTAAAGTGAATCTGGTTTCCCCATTGACTTTGTCAGAAGATCATAAAAGCTGATCACATGACCCCGGGACACTGAAACCATCATAAATATGAACCCATTGCCAAGCATCTGAATTTTGATCGTGTGAACATGGGGACGCTGCAATGGTTGTAATGTTACTTCAAACAGTAACTAAACAAATGGTTATAAGTCAAGGGCTGCCTGCACTGTTGTTACAACAATATTATATGGGGGGGAAAGTATGAAAAACATTTAATTTAATGAGATTCCCAAGAATTATTGATAAGCTTAGTAACTTTGATGTGTGCCAGGAAACTGCAGCAAAAGCTTGGTTCAACAGATGTTTAGATGTTCTTTATGACAAACAGTTATTAAAACGGGTTCCCATCATTTATGTCAATGTATATCAATTACCTAATGACACAAATTGATACAAATGGCATTAATTTGCATGAACTGCCCAGAATAGTTTGAGTACAGTATTGTAGGCTTTCAGCTTTAAAGGGATGCTGGAAGAGAAATTAAGTCTACCGTGTTCAATATGCACTAAACTGAGGTCCATTAAAGTAAAGTTTTGCCATAATTAGATAATTTAAAGGAATGGAGACCTTAAACAACACCTCCTTTTGGAAGAACAGTTACTTAGATGACTCCTTTAACTCTGACTACAATGTACATTCTATTCTATTATGTTCTGTTTTGTTCTGTTCCTATTTCTATTCTATATATTTTATATATATTTTTATTACTTTATTTTGTTATTTTATTTTATTGGATGTACAAGCTGCTCTAATCCGAGTGGTGCATATCCCAACTGACTCCGAGTGGTGCATATCCCAACGAAAATTGTGTTAAAATATAAAATGCAGAAGAAAAATCAAACTGTAACAATATAAAATAATTATGGTTTTTAAATAACTTTTGCTTAAGAGAATTTTGGGTTGAGTTTTTGAATCAGAACTTTCACTGAACAAGAGAAATTATTTTTGAAACTTCAGCAAAGTTCCAAAGCAGCTTGTGATATAGTCATAATATGATCTGTACGCATGCCCACAAACATCCGTGGACATACTGGTACTATGTTGTGTGAAGTGTGTATCTAATATTGCGTGCATTGACAGCAGCAAAGATTGTATTTGCTCAGCACTGGAAGAAGGAAGAAATACCATCAGATGAAGAGGTAATTAAGAAGATATTGGACTACGCTGAAAAGGACAGACTCAGGCTGAGGATTAAAGAGAAAGAATATACAGAATATTTTCAAATATGGAATTTATTTTATCAATGGCTGGAAAAACGGTGTAGAGACTAGGAATATAATGGGTATTATTAAGCAAAACAAAAAGTAATCCAGGTAACACAATGTTTATTAAGCACTAATGAAATGTAACAATAGAAAACTAATAAAACAAAACCAAAAACATCCATGGACATGACACTTTTGTGTTCAAAGAAAAATGTTTCCACTAGCTATTTCAGCCAACCTTTCTCTATCTGCCTAGATAGGCCTCTTATAAATAACAAACTCTAGATCAACGGTTCTACTAACCTTTGATTTGTAGAGGAAGTAGTAAAAGACACCTCCATATCAGAATCATCATCTTCAATTACCTGCAAGAGACAGAGCAAAGGCCCAGAAAGCTGCACTTTTAATACAGCTTAATACATTTTTAATACAAGTTGAGCTAGTCCCCAGCTTACGACCACAATGGAGTTCAAAATTTCTATTGCTAAGTGAGACTGTCATGGTTCCGACAGATGAAACTCTTCAAAGAACTTCGAGGCATTGTTTACCTTAAAGAATCTTTATTCAAGTTGCATGGCATGGGCACATACCTGGTTGAAGCCGAAATCTGAATTCCCCTCCCCTGAGCACATAGTATCAAAGCACAATTCCCTCCTCCGATTAATAGTCATAAATCACATTCTCCAATTAGTTTGAATTGCAGGCTTTCCCTCCTGTTCTCTAACGCCAGTTCTTATCATCTCTTATTTCAAGCTCTGAATACACTAGTACAGTGGTGGCGAACCTAGGGCACCCGTGTCAGAGGTGGCACTCGGAGCCCTCTCTGTGGGCATGCACGCCATTGCCCCAGCCCCGCCTCCCCCCATAGCCCCCTCCTCACCAGCAGCCTGCCCGGAGGAGAGGCCCCCCAGGCACAGCCCACGCAAAGCAGCGCAGCCAAGCACATGGCAGCCAGGCAGCAGAGGCAAGACTCCGCCCTCATGCCCCATCACTTGCAGATGATGCTGCGGGGTGCAGCCAGAGGGTGTGGCTGCCATGGTGCTGCAAGGCTGCCTGGGTGACCTGTGGTGAGAGGCCCTGTGGGTGGGCAGAGCAGGGGGCAGAGCGGGGCCAGGCCATGGGGGGCGGGCCGGTTTTTGGGCACTTGGTCTATAAAAGGTTCACCATCACTGCACTAGTACAATATTGTTATGTCTAACTAACTCCCACCACATTCTGCCTCCTCCCACAGCATCATCTAATTCTAAAAGTAAAGCATAAGTAAAAAGCTGCATCTTCATATGTTGTCAAAGCTAGAACATCCAATGTTAGCAGTGTTGACAGAGACATTAGTTAAGTGAGTTTTGCCTCTTTTACAATTTTTCTTCCATAGTTAAATGCACTGCAGTTATTAAATAGTAGCACAGTTGTTAAGTGAATCTGGCATCCCCATTGACTTTGTTTGACAGAGGGTCACAAAAGTTGATCACGTGACCGTGGAACACTGCAATTGTCATAAATATGAATCAGTTGTTAAGCGTCCCAATTTTGATCATGGGACCATGAAGATGCTGCAATGGTCATGTGAAAAACGGTCATAATCGCCTTTTTCAGTGCTGTTGTAACCTCGAACAGTCACCAAAGGAACTGTTGTAAGTTGAGGACTATCCGTATATGCACAAGCAAACATCCCTTGTGTTCTTTTTTTATTGGTGACTGATTCTGTCCCTATTTTTTTTACCGGTTTATGTTGTGTTTGTAGTTGAGTTACTGTCAACACTGCAAATATTATATATTCTTGCTTTTGACAATATGCAGAATTGTCTGGTAATTATGGGGTTAATACAGAGCAGAAGGGAGGGTTGGGGGTAAAGCCCGGGAAAGAAAGAGGAAGAAAACATTTGACCTTCACACTAATTGGATAATGTGAGATATGAGGGCTAATTTAGGGAGGGAACATGCTGATAATTTAACTGCTCAGAGGAAGAGAACTTAGATCCTAGCATCCCTCTGTTGTGCCTGTGCCGACATTTTGTAACAATAAAAGACTTTTAGGAAAATAAATGCCTGGAAGTTCTTTGGAATGTTTCATTAGCCGGAACCACAACAGTTACTTTCTGTTGGGAAAGTGGCACCTGACTTTTTTTTTGGGGGGGAACCCCTCTGCTGGGGTACTGGGCTCAGGGCTCTGACCAGTTGATTTCCTATAAGCCTTTGAAAATCTGACTCTCGTCTCTGCACTGCAACACCAGGCCAGGAAATTGGATGAGCCTCTCCTATAATAGCTTGAAAATGTTTGTCTCAGCTTTCTTGTACTTTTCATTCTATTTTACGCTTTTACGCCTATTTGTGATTTGGACAGCTGCGTAAATTACTTAAATAAACAAAATGATGCCATGTTTTGAACACACTGCCCCTCTCTTGTATCCCAAACCTGGTTACTCAATCCAAAAATCAACCAGGTGAGCCTTACCCTTTTCCGTAATAAAACACTTGCCCGCTTTGCAAAGGAAGGATGCTCCTTCAGTAGAGTCACTAAAGCCACCCCAAAAGCCTCAGCATTCCCAGGCCCCTCCAGGGAAAGAGGCAGCTAAGCAGATGGCCCAAACAAATGCCACACCTCAAGGCTTCGTAGAAGATTGTCCCTATCTGCTACATAGCAAATCAGCTTTCCTCAACGGATATCCTTCATAAGCACTGAGAAGACAATTTGTAATATTCCCCAACCCGCCTGGAAAAAGCTGCATTGCACTCCCAGAAAAAGGGGAAATTGCTGGATTTTATCATGAAATAACTACCAACCTCTGAGTAATTCCTGACAGGCGTGTTTCGGGAGGGCTGCTGTCTGGATGACTTAAATGCTAGAAAACATCAGAGTATGAATGTATAGCAATGATGGTAAATTTATGACACTTTGAAATAAACTACTGTTGGCACAAAGCACGAGAGAATTAAAAACATTTCTGCAAGACCTACGTTATGTCAGACGTTTATATCCCTTTTAAAGATGTACATAAATGACAACGGTTGGTTTGCTTACTGCGCTTAGCTGTGTTTCATTTAAGAACAATTTACTGAATATATCAAAATCTTTTGGGTTTACACAGCAAACCAAATAAATTTAATGTCTGTCTACTGTGCTATGTGGACTACTGTGTTGTATGAACCAAGGAAGTCGCTCGCCAGATACAGTAAAACAGTGGTTCTCAACCTTTTTAATGCCGCGACCCCCAACCGGTCGTAAGTAGAGGACTACTCAACTGGTGCAGCACCGTTTACAGAATGGGACTTTTGGTGAGCTCAGCAGGGCAGAGACAGCCTGGACAATTCCTATTGGCTTTTGAAAGCCAATAGAATTAGACTCTATTCAAGAGAGTCTATTCTATTGGCTTTCAAAAGCCAATAGAATAAACGGGAGTAGCACAGCTAAGGAAAAGGGGGAAAAAATGGCGGACTGCGTTGTTTGGCGACCCCCATGAAATGGTCGTTCGACCCCAAATGGGGTCCTGACCCACATGTTGAGAACCACTGCAGTAAAAGCTCATAAGATAACCTACCATCCAAAATCGACATATTTTTCGTAGGAGTGAGAGGCTTAAACGTTCTGCTGCTGCCTGTCTGATCACGGGCAGCACTTCCTGTAAACAATACAATAGACAGTCAGATGTTTACATTTTCTCACTTCTTTTTACCAAGCCTTACTAAGCCTTTAGGATGGTGCCCCCAAATTGGCTTATGCAGACTGCAATGTCCTTTAAGGAACTAACACAGGACTGGCAACATGGCGTCTGCAGACACTTAGCACAATGTATCTGGTTAGACCAGGGGTAGGCAACCTTGGCTCTTTTATGACTCCTGGACTTCAACTCCCAGAATTCCTGAGCCAGCATGGCTCAGCTTGGAAACCTCTCCATTTCTCCTCAGCATGGCTGGCTCAGGAATTCTGGGAGTTGAAGTCCACGAGTCATAAAAGAGCCAAGGTTGCCTACCCCTGGGTTAGACAATATTACAGATAGTTCTTGACTCACAACAGCTCATTTAGTGACCATTCGAACTTATGACGACACTGGAAAAAGCGACTTTCTCACACTTATAATTGTTGCAGCACTCCCTTGGTCACGTGATCAAAATTCAGACACTTGGCAACTGACTCCTACTTATGACGGTTGCAGTGTCCCAGGGTTTTGTGAACACCTTTTGCAACCTTCTGACAAGCAAAGTCAATGGGAAGTCAGATTCACTTAACAATCGCATTACTAATTCCACCACTGCAGTCATTCACTTAACACTGCAGTTATTAAATTAGTAACACGGTCGTTACTATCAGAAGGCTGCAAAAAGTGATGACATGACCCCAGGACACTACAACCGTCACAAATATGAACCAGCTGCAAAGCATTGGAATTTTGATCACATGACCATGGGGGGGGTGCTACAACGGTCGTAAGTGTGCAAAACACTCATAAGTCACTCTTTTCAGTGGTGTTGTAATTTCAAATGGTCAGTAAATGAACTGTTGTAAAGTTGAGGAGTACCTGTAAGCCAATAATCAACCACAACAGCTTTATAGAAAGTGCAACAAGATGGAAAAAAAACTAGCCTCCTCTTCCTCGCCGAGATGACCCCCTTGCTGAGACATTCTGTCCTCTGCCTCTTGCCCGACCTCTCTGTCTACCCCGGCTGGGAGCTAAAGAGTCTTCCGATTCATCATTGAATCTTTGGTTAGAGGTGGCCACATCCATGAGGTCGTCATCACTCATCACCGAAGCACGATCGGTCTCTTGAGATCTGGCTTTGGCCCTGTTGATAGCCTGGGAGAAAAAGAGGGAAGCAGGAAAAAAAAAGAATTCCACTCAGATATGAAAGCATTTCTCCATGCACGGAGTGGAAATTACCAAAGGGGTGGAAGAAATATTTACTGCTAAATCAATGAGTGGTCTTAAAACTGAAAGGGGGAAAACAGGAGAGCAAACAGCAGGTAAAGCTTGATTTGAAACAAAAGGAATTGTGTGGTCTACATTTCTGTAGAGAAAGAAGTGAAGCACACTGTGAGGTAAATATGAGTCTCGTCTGATTCGTGGATTTCGGCCTACCTCACGGACTTCTTCGTCCTCTTCCACTGTGTTCGTTTTTCTCGATTCTCTGAAGCGCTGAACCTGCATTGAAATGGAAGAGTCACCGAATATATTCAGATGAAATAAGAATTCATGCTTAATGCAAATTTGTTTCCTTCCTGAAGGGGGGGAAAAGGCTAGCTGAAATTCAAGTACAACTAATCCTCAACTTACAACCATTAGTTTAGTGACTGTTCAAAGTTACAACAACACTGAAAAAAGTGACTTAGGACTATTTTTCACACATACAACTACTGCAGCATCTCCATGGTCATGTGATCAAAACCCAGGCACTTGGCAACTGGAATATATTTATGACGGTTGCAGTGTCCCGGGGTCATGGGGTCACCTTTTGTGACCTTTTCACCAGCAAAGTCAATGGGGAAGCCAGATTCACTTGACAATCGTGTCACCAACTTAACAATTGCAGTGGTTCCCTTAACAACTTTGGCAAGAAAGCTCGTAAGATGGGGGAAAATTCACTTAACAACCTATTTGCTTAGCAATGGAAATTTTGGGCTCAAAATTGTCGTCATAAGTCCAGGACTACCTGGGTATTCTGGTACATTAAACAAGAATTTGACCATCTGAAGGTGGCCAAAAATTACTCAAGGGAAGCAGCTGTTCAAATCAGTCTCCTTGCCATGATGTGACATTTGTAATCGTAATACAGATATTTGTAATATTCAATTATTGAATGTGTTCAGGAAGAATAAATCATGCCATACAAACCTCTTCGTCAATTTTGGCTTCTTCTGCATCTATACGCCGCTCCTTCAGAAATCTCTGGGTCTTTTCTAACTGGAACTTCACTAGTTCTTCAATAGCGTCCTTCTCCTCCTTGTCCACAAATTCTTGCACGGCTTCCCCCATGCCTCTCTCAGTCAGAAGAGAAAGCTGCACTTTCTTGGACACATAAACGAAGAGTCAGTTTGATTTCAATTTATATACTAACCAGATTTGTTGAATTATGTTTGTTGAATTGAAGAAAGCATTGGATAAATTGGAATGATGGAATGTTTTGTTGGGAGAAATTTAATTCAGCAATAAATTTATCCCTGCACTACCTTTGAAACTCCCTTTAATCATCAAACTGACCTACAGGTAACCATCATTGTTAAGTGAGTATTGATCCATTTTACGACCTTTCTTGCTAAAGTTGTTAAGTGACTAACTGCATCTGTTAGGTTAGTACCATGGTTGTTAAGTGAATCTGACTCCCCCCCCCCTTGATTTTGTTTGTCCGAAAGTCGCAAAAGGAGATCACATGACTCTGGGACGCAGCAACCATCATTAAATATGAGTCAGTTGCTAAACATCTGAATTTTGATCACGTGACCCTGGGGATGCTGCAACCGTCATAAGTGTGAAGAACGATCATAAATCACTTTTTTCAGTACCACTGTAACTTGGAACGGTCACTAAACAAACTGCTGTAACTTGAGGAATACCTAAAGTTTTAGCTAAGATTTAGTTATTATTAATAATAATTAATATGAATAAATAATAAAAACTAATTAATTAGTGTTAAATTTTCTGCAGCTTAGCCACAAAAGCTTAACTTGTAACCTGGCTACAAAAAGTTACAGGTTTTTTTTTTAAATTAAATTTTTTATACAGTTTTTACAATAAAATCCCTCCCCACCACCCTCCCTCCACCCCCCCTTAACCCTCCCCCCCTTCCCAGAGCTGAATACAGAGCTAAAAATAGCAGAAGAAAAAACATAAAAATTAAATAAACATCAATCAACTATATATAAATCCTAAAGTAATTAAAGAACCCCCCCTTAACTCCATTACATTAAAATCAACATTAAAATCAACAAATCTAACCATAACAACTTTACTCTAAAAAAAAAAGTTACAGGTTTTGTTCTAACATAACTTTCACATCCAGATTGTTTATCTCAGCGCAATATCAAAACCACAAATTGCCCAAAGTTTAAATGGAAAATTCCAATAATGGAACTCCAATCATTCAATTAAAATCTGTTTTGATGACTATTTTTAAACCTAGTGATAAATAATAGAAAAATATGTTTACCTTCTCTGCTGTTTGGAAATATTGCTTTACTAAATCCTCCACCCGCAGGGTTGTTCCCTTAGCTGTAGGATTGTGGACCAGTTTTCTGAAGTTAACTTCATCTTCTAAAAAAAAATAAAAAAAAATATAAGATACATTTCAATCCTTTTAAGGAAATGCTTACTATTCCAAATAATCACCATCACGAAGTTTTTTTAAAAAAAAAATTACACACACAAACACGTCTGGTAGGCATAAAGAAAATATGTAATGTTTTATTTTAAAAGTTTAGTGAATTGTAACAAAAGTATAGATTTTTTATGGAAAACAGAAGTCCTATATTTTAAAAATACAGATGGAAAGATAAAATAAAGATTTTCAACAGTGAAACAACACCATTAAAATAACACAGGTTCCTATTGCAGATTTTCTTTTGTATTTTGTTCAGTTTTTAGTCTTATTGAATACCTGAGTTTACTTGATTGCTTAATTATTAAGAAACCTAAGTCTCAGAATTAAGTTAACTATTTGGTCAAAAATATTAATTTGTTTTAACTTTAACCCAAGATGCAAAGACAATTGTTCAAAATAATAAAGACTGAATTTTAAAAGGCCCCATTAAAAACACAGAAGATTCTAGAACAGCATTTAATATAGCTTGAGATCATGTTTTTACTTATACACATTATCACCATAATAATCATTCTGTGGACCAATTTCATTTCAGGAATCCTTTTGCAATCCATTTCCTCTTCAGCAAACCACACTAGTGTTCATTAAACCTTGAATACAGAATCTTTGTCAGCTATTAATAATCTCCCTTTTAAAAGCTAGGACATATTTCTCAATATCATCTTATTTCAGCACAGGTGCTTTGAACAAGATGACATAGTAAGGCTGAAACCATCAGTGAAACAAAGACTAGCAAACTGCTAGTGCTAAAAAAAAACACTCCATCATTTCATCTTGCATGAACAGAAAAAGAATGCTTGGATGTAATTATTCTTCCTAGTACCTTACAAAAAGGAATACAATCCATGGGCTAGAATCAGCTGTAATATACTGTAATTACATACGTAAACACAAATTTCAAAGGAATGTTAAATACCAGACAATGAATTAAACATTAGGTGAGATGGACAAGGCTTCTGGGCCTTACCAGGTGATTTTAGGCAAAGATAAAGAGTTTATTGCAAATGATTATTACAATTTATAGAAATTAAATAGGTTGCCGTATTGTGAAAAAGAAAATTATCAGAACGAACCAACTGTTTTCAGGAAGAAACACATTAACTGCTTGGAAGTGGGAGATTTAAGAAGGACCAACATAAATATATAAAAATAATAGATGTATAAAAATACCTGACAGCATGAAAACGACAGAAATAATGTAGTGGGGGAAGACAAATTGGTCCAGGAATAAAACCACGGAGAACAAGTGATGGACCTCAAACTTAAATTTTGAGAATATAAAAAGATGAAAGGAATAGAAGACCTCCTCATTTCTGAGATCCAAAGCCGTGAAAATCTATGGATCAGTAAGTGGAGAGTTACTGATCCTATAAATGAGTTTCTTATTCTCTACATTTTGAGGGTGTCTTCAACATAGTTAGTATGAATAGGAAACATTACATCTTTCTGCATGTTCAGCTTATGTGCAAGATGTTTTTTATTAAATAAATTTAATTTGATTCTGTAATAAGATCTTATAGCAAGTGAGACATACTGAGTTAGCCAATGATTGTGCTAAACCAGTGGTTCTCAACCTGTGGGTCGGGACCCCATTTGGGGTCGAACGACCATTTCACGGGGGTCGCCAAACAACGCAGTCTGCCATTTTTTCCCCCTTTTCCTTAGCTGTGCTACTCCCTTTTATTCTATTGGCTTTCAAAAGCCAATAGGAATTGTCCAGGCTGTCTCTGCCCTGCTGAGCCTGCCAAAAGTCCCATTCTTCAAATGGTGCTGCACCAGTTGAGTAGTCCTCGACTTACGACCAGTTGGGGGTTACGAGATTAAAAAGGTTGAGAACCACTGTGCTAAACAAACCAAATTATATTCTTAGATTGTTAGGACTTAAGTTCCACAGTAACCCCTCCAAATTCTATAGAATTACAAAATCCCTAGACTGTAATGAGATTCTGATTTGGAAAATTTTGCATAGAAGATACAAAGGAGGAGGAGGAGATGAAAGACATTTTTGTGGTTCAAGTGATTCTGAATGGAATCAGTTTGCATACGAATTATTTTTTTTAATTGGAAGCTCTATATTAATATTTCAAATAAATGAATAAAACCAATGCTAAGCAGATGGCCAGGTTTGAAATAACAATTGGGAGCAAAGTATCTTGTTTTCAATATATTTATAAATTAAAATCATTGTGCATTTAGAGGACTACGCTACATGAAAAAAATTGTCTTTTTAATGGGTTTGGTCAAAAATTTTTTGAAGTTGCATTAAAACTGTTTCATAGGTTATTGTTTTATTTATTTATTAAATGTATATGGCACCCGTCTCGCAACTGAAGCGACTCCGGGTGGCTTACCACACAATAAAAGCAATATAAAAGAATTAAAAATGTTAAAAACAGTAACAGGTATTAGATCAGTGGTTCTCAACCTGTGGGTCGGGACCCCATTTGGGGTCGAACGACCATTTCACGGGGGTCGCCAAACAAGGCTGTCCGCCATTTCCCCCCCCTTTTTTGGCCACGCCCCTGGCACCCGATGATGTATAAGTGGTTGGGGGTCACCACAACATGGGGAACTGTATTATGGGGTTGCGGCATTAGAAAGGTTGAGAACCGCTGTATTAGATAATATACTTTACATTATACTTATATTTATACAGGTAGTCCTGGACTTATCACCATTCGTTTAGTGACTGTAGTTACAACAACACTGAAAAGGAAAATGACCTAGAACTGTTTCTCACACGACTGTTGCCATGGTCATGTGATCAAAGTTCAGATGCTTGGCAACTGGAATGTATTTATGACAGTTGCAGGGTCATGTGATCACCTTTTGCGACCTTATGACAAGGAAAGTTAACGGGGAAGCCAGACTCATTTAACAATCATGTTACGAACTTAACTGTAGTGATTTACTTAGCAACTGTGGCCAGAAAGGTCGTAAAATGGGGCAAAACTCACTTAATAACTGCCCCACTTGAAATTTGGGGTTCAATTGTGGTCGTAAGTCAAGCACTACTTGTAATTATACTTATTCTTCATCTCACTCACCCATCCCAACACACATAATTTCCCACACAGAAAAGAAAAATTTCTATAGATAAACTTCTATTATTTTTCCCAGGGACAATACTTACTACAACAAATTTGGAAAATTATATATACTGTTTTAAAACATTTACCATTTTTCTCTTTTTGTTCCCGATGCCTGAAAAAATGTATGATATCTTTTGGATTAGCCACTTTATCCATGTATTTCTGGCTGAAACGAACCATACTGAATGGTTCGAAGCCTCCGCTGTAATCTACCTTCAAATCAAATCAAATAAAGAATAAAAGATGTGGGAATTTGCAATTAGGCATCTCTAAAAAATAATTAAAAATTCATCGGCTGAATTTGATGTGCTTATCAATATTTTACTAAGGTATTAGCAAACACTTTATTATTTCAGTATAGCAAATATTTACTGAAGTATTGGTATTATAGTATATTCTAGCTACTGTTAGTAATTCACAGGAACACCATGTACTAACAGCTGGCAAAACTGAAAATATATTCAACTTTAATGTTCATGCAACCTTCAAACAGCCAAGGAGTTTATAAAATTAGCTCCTCTAAGATCTTTCAACCTCCATCTCTAAGGCATATTTTAATTAATCCCTAAGGCTACTTAATTAAACAAAACTAAAGCCTTAATCCAGGGGTCTTCAAACTTAGCAACTTTAAGATTCTGGGAGTCGAAGTCCACAAGTCTTAAAGTTGCCAAGTTTGAAGACCCTTGCCTTAATCGATACATTAGACATGTAGAATTGTTTAAAAATCAACCCATACTTGAAAAGTTACTGCCTATTAAAGTTTGGCTAATGAAACACTAGGAAGAAAGCTTCCGATTTAAAGATCACATTCTTACTCGTAATCTTATTAGAGGCTTCTCTGGTTGTTTGGAATTTCCCAGACGGTGTCTTTCTGCCTTTTCCAGCATCATTTCAACCTTTAAGAAAGGGACATAATTTGCTAAATGCAAAATCTGCTATATCAGGTATCAATATATGCACAATACAGATCAGAGGTCTTCAAACTTGGCCCTTTTATGACTTGTGGACTTGAACTCCCAGAATTCCTCAACCAGACATGTTGACTGAGGAATTCTGGGAGTTGAAGTCCACAAGTCATAAAAAGACAAAATTTGAAGACCCCTGATATAGATTAAAACAAGCAATCTTTAAGTTTTTTAGAATTTTTCTTCTCCTGGAACATACCTATTAGACTACATAAACTACCTAAAGGAGAAACTACAAGGCTGATTTCCAATGAAGATAATCTGTCCCAACCCACAGCAGAATTGGATTTATTGTTCTTATAATACTCTGAAAGCCACAGCAACATTAATATAGGCAATGTAGCCTGCTTGTATTTAACTGGAATCTCTTCTTCTCACTTAGTAGCAATAGACAGTACCCCAACTATCTAGTCTATGCTCATAGAAATGTAAAGAAGTCTTGCCAAAACATTTTAGAAGAAAATGATAGAAAACATTAGCAAGAATATGCAGTCTATTGCCCCCAATCTAAACACAATCTCAAAACCTTTTTTTTTTTTTTTTGGGAATTTCATGGGACCTTGACAGCAGCAATTGCCAAGAACTAGCAACAGCATTTCTACCATTTTGAAGCATAAAATATAAAAAAAATGTAACATGACCCTTAACGTAAGCTTAACCTAGTTTTAAAAAGGTGATTGTCTTGCATCATAAGCTCTAAGTCGAAAAAACTGTCCCCACTGGTACCTATGTTTATAACAGCGAAGTGTGTGTGTTTGTGTGTGTGTGTAGAGAACAATGAGATCTGAGAAACAATGAAGAAAAGTCCTTTTGTTTAATGAAGAATTCAACTCACCTGACATTGACTTCTATCTAATATCACATCCAATTCTATAGTACGGGCAATACCAATACCAGTATGCATTTTTTAAAAAAGCTTTACCTTCTCCATGCAGAAATCTTGTATTACTTGTGTGACTTTTGGGTTGTCTGGGAGAAAAAAGTCCGGATAGTCAGCCAGAACAAGGTCTTCAAGGTAGAAAGGCCGTACGGTCTGGAGAGGAATCTTCTGCATCTTCATTTTTTTGTCTTTGATGTGCAACAAGCCAACGTGTCTGGGAGGCATTGAACAAAGCGGCTTAAATCTTGGCAATGTGATAGAACTTCAGAATAGTCACAGAATTTGGTTGAGAGCAATGACAATAAAAATGGAAACCTAGGTGATGGAGGAGATCAAGGTCCAAGGAGATCAAGGTCCATGGCTAAGAACTCCCATCTACATCATCAAAAAGTAAGGAGCGTAGTAGCTCACGAGGTTAGGATGCTGGGCTGATGATCAACAGGCTCATGTTTAGAGACCCGGAAGCAACCACGGGACAGGGTGAGCTCCTGTCACATGCTCCAGCTCCTGCCGACCCAGCAGTTTGAAAGCGGGTGAGTAGATAGATGGATACCTTAATGGGGACATGAAGGAGCCCCGACTGGATATTTCCCAGGCAACAGGGATGTCACCATTCAATCCTTTCAACCTGGAAGCACTTCAGTGCTCTCAACCTGACTGTAGTATCGTCAAAATCAGCCCTAAGATTTATATAGGTGCGTAATGAAGTAACTTTCCTATCTAAATCCAGTTACATTATATCACTGCAACTGATGATTTATTGTTCAGAACAATGTTAGAGTGTTTCTTATGTTTATATTCCACTTTCTTCTAAGCAGACAAAGGCAATTTCTATTTTCTCATCCCCTTTTTGACTATCCTAATAACCCTGAACCGAGAAAAAGGAATTCCCCTAAGCTACCCAGGGAGCTGTATTAATTACATACAGCACATAAGAATGTAATTTTCCTGGATAAAACAAAATAAATACAAAAGAGATTTTTTTTATTATTCATTTTCTCTTCCACAGTTTCTTGATGGGAGAAAAACTGTTGTTAAATGTCCTTCTCTAATTCAGAAGACAGAGGCTTCTGCTGAACATCTCCAAATCCCTAAGTGGCCTGTTGCAAGTCAGATGTATACTGTAAGTGTAACTATACAACCACAATTGAGCCCAAGATTTCTATTGTTAAACCAAACAGTTGTTAACGTGAATTCCGCCTCATTTTACAATCTGTCTTGTTAAGTAAATCACTGCAGTTGTTAAATTAGTAACATGGTTGTTAAGTGACTCTGATTTCCTCATTGACTTTGTCAGAAGGTCGCAAAAGGTGATCAATTGAACCTGGGACACTGCAACCCTCATAAACATGAGCCAGTTGTGTCCAAAGTTCGATCACATGACTGTGGAGATGCCACAACGTTTGTTAAGTGTGAAAAATGGTCATACGTCGAGGACTACCTACAGTGTCTTTGCCTCAGATTCCATGCAATTCCTAGCACAGGGGTTATTTTTAGCAGAGGAGTTTGAATTTTTATAATTTGCTAATACCATTAGTGAGAAAGGTTCTTGGGAAGTATTTCTCTTTAAATAAGTCTCTCTGGCTATACTACTTTACCTCAGTCTAACTCAGGGGTCTTCAAACTTGGCCCTTTTATGACTTGTGGACTTCAACTCCCAGAATTCCTCAGCCAGGAATTCCTCAGGCACGCTGGCTGAGGAATTATGGGAGTTGAAGTCCACAAGTCACAAAAGGGCCAAGTTTGAAGACCCCTGGTCTAAATCTATTCTTGAATGGTCAATCAGCTATGAGACCCAAGGGAAATTTATCCTGTAAATCTGTTAACATGCAAATTTTAATATCAACAACTATATTACATTTGGGGAAACAGTATAGTAAATAGTTAAATCCTTAAATCCTAATTTAACCTAATCTTAACTGTTACTAATTAATCAGGTGGCTTCAATATCTGTGACAATGAAAAATGCTATTTATCCATCAGATATTGATTTCAGATTTTCTTTGGATTATCCTTTCTGATAAGCACAATAGAACCAAGAGATCCAAAAGAAAAATCAAAACACATTACAGATTCCTCAAAAATGAAAGAGATACAGTGTTTAAAGGAAAGACTCCTATAAATTTGTACTGAATATATAATATAAATTACTGAAACACACAAGAACATACTTTCTGACAGTTTCTCCTGGTGACAAAGATGTAACCACTGAACTTCCTGGCTGAGAAATATAGAAAAGTTGTTGCTCGTTTCTGACTGGAGATATTTTACATTCATGTTCATGACCCCAAATTACAAGGTCAATGAAGTCATCTAGAAATTGTTCTGGAATATAATTTGTGGCTCCATGTTTACTCCTGTGCCAAGGAAAACAAACACGACAGCAACAAATTAAAACAGCATTTTGCAAACTATAAACCAAAGTACCCAATTTTTAAATATAACATGTTATCACAATATTAGGCCCATTCTCACTGTCCCAAATATGTTTATCAGATATCAAAAGGTAAGAGAAAGTAAAAGAAAATATTAGATTCTGATATCTACAATCTCATGTAAGCTTCAAAACATTTGTAATTATGATTTGCTGTTCTAGTTCTACAATTATTTTGCCACATTGAAAACTGTGACATTGTCAAATTCAATGACTTGATCAACACAAGAGACAGATCATTCCTGGGCTACAAATAAACAACAATCTCAACAACCAAAGTGGATGACATAACTAAGAACAGGCTATCAATTCAGGATCCAGATGAGATCAATATAGACCAAAGGCATAAGATGTAACCTGGGGACTGTATCTATACCTGTTCTGATGAATTACAAACAGATTAAACCATCTATCTTCATCTTCTTTTGGCCTCAACATGGTTACTTGTTTATTCACAAACATCCGATGTAGTCTTTCATCGGGAACAGATCCTAGAAGAGAAAAATTACATGCAATGGGCTTTTAGTGATCTACCAAGCAGAAAATTACACAGCTGAGTAGTGAGATTCCAGTTAGTATTTAGATATCACATGAAATTATTTTGCCAACTAAAGATTAGATTGGCCATGACCTCAGTCCTTTGCAACACCTTAAAGACAAATTGGGTTTGGGGACACCTTGCAGCCTTACACTTTTTCCACATGGCACTCATTGCATGAGGGGCAGTGCAATGACTCAGCGGTTAAGACCCTGGGCTTGTTGGCTGGAAAGCCGACAGCCTAGATTTGAGATCTGAGCTCCACATGATGGGATGAGCTCCCATCCTCACCTAGCTGCTGCCAACCTAGCAGTTTGAAAGCATGCAAATGCAAGAAGGTAAATAGGTACCATTTCGGTGGGAAGGTAACAATGTTCCACGACATCATGCTGATCACATGACCACAGAAATCTCTTTGGACAGCACTGGTTCAATGGCCTTGAAATGGAGATGAGCACTGTCCCCAATAGTCGGCAACAACTAGCAGAGTAAAATCCGCAGCGACTTCTCTACTCATTGCATGAAACTCTAAATAAAATTTAGGAGCATGCAAAACATATCATTTTGAATCCTTTCCAGAATGGAACTTCCATCTCAGCGTTTGGGAGTGGTAAATTTGAGCTTGAAACACTTCTGAAACACTTAGAACAGCGTGTTTCACAAAACAGAGGCTTTGCACTTGGAAATGAGTTAGCTCACAAAATTTTGCACTTGAAATAGTTGGAAACATTTTCATTCACCTAATCAATATTTTGTGGATCAAATCTTGCTAGTCCTACTCTTAATTCTAACCCACAAATTACAAAATAGAAATTAAATTCAATATCTTTTATTCTTTTTTCCATTTTTGGAGAACCACTCGTATACATAAAATACCCGATTAGAGAGGTGCAAAAATCTTACCTAATCCATAAAGAGCAATCTTTGAATTTCCTTTCTGAAGCAAAATAGGACTAATTTCTATTTTCTCTACCGATGGTGAACGTCCAAAATGATTAATAAGTCCCGCACAAGTTAAAATGTCCAAAGCACAAAGACCATCTGCCTATAGATATGGAAAATAATAACAAAAATGGAATTTGTGACACATCAATTTTGTTAAATTTCCAAAATATAAAACATTAAAACCAGAATATGTTACTTATTTGCGTGTGCACATAAGTAAAAACCAGTATACTTTGCATATTACAATTGCTTAAATTTCTCAGACAAATGACAAATTAATGTATTTTCCTGTATTAAATAGTCCCTAAAGCCTTCGACATCTCAAAAGTAGGGAAAACATAAGAGTGATTGCAAGCTACATAAAGTGGCATTGCAAATACTGTAGCTTCTAATCCTCCAGGCTAAGAATAATCTCTGAACAATTAGACAAAAACCAGAATGTAACTAATTACTGTAGTTTTCCACAAATTAACAACATCTCACAAATAAAATATACAAAAACAGTATGGTAAAAGTTCAATTTTTAAAACTTGGTGATTTTGTTGAAGACAATGAACCAAATCAATTGTACAACGAACGGTTGTACGCTTTTACCCTAAGGAACTTACATTCTATCCTATGCTAAAACACAAACCATGTACATTAAATGCTATTTTTATTTTGTATGCTTTCCTAATCATAATCTATTATAAACTTGACAAGTTTAAGAAATACTTTGATATAGGAACACTTGGTATAGGATACAAGATAATTCTTGCTCAATTTCACTAACAGATTTTAGTACAGAATTGCTGGATTGTAATTTTTATAATCTTGGCTGTCTTTCTAAAGTATTACTAGCATAATTAATAAAGCTACTGGTCTTCTTTCACCCTCTAACGTTCTTACCCCTGTGGGATCATCATGGTTGCCATGAATACTAAAAACCGGAATAGAAATGTTGAGATTTTCATCTTGATAGTTCACCCATGGAAACCTAGAAAGGACAAGTTTAAAGCAAGCAAAAATTGCATCATTTGCAACATGCAGCTAAACTTGTACATTTTTTAAATAGAATTAAACCTTATATGCTGAATTCAGAACTGTGAAGTTCTTGATGTTCTCTGAGTTTGGCCATCTGGTTACATATCTTTCACTACTGAACCAGGTAACATCATCAGTGTGATAGAGTGTGGAGTTTGCTGTTTATATGTAGTGGTTTGTCCTGCCACTATATTAGACAGCAAACTCCATATACCTTCACACTGGTGATGTTAGCTAATGGTCTGCAAAATCAGCAATTCAATTCAATTCAATTCAATAGAAAAGTGGAATAGAATTAATTTGATAAATTATCTGTTTTGAGAAAAGGGATGAGATAGTTTTTATACATTGCCCCTTGATCTAAAAAGCTGCTCAGGAAGTTGGAGAGATCTTTTAATATACATAAAAAGAAAGGTGCAAAACTACAGGGGAGAGAGAAATGGGAAAAAAGGCATTTCTCCCATTTTAGCACCTTTCATGAATGCATGGGATTTTTGTTTGCAGGCCACAAGGCCAATGCAGCAGAATTTCAGGGGGGGGGGGAAATCAAGAGTTCCATTAAGCAGACTGAACAGGAAAACACTCAGTGTAATAATAATGCAAACCACAATAAAAATGTATGTGTAGCATTGTCCAGAATTAGCCTGACTAATCAAAATGAAGAATTGGATCAAACTTTTTTTAAATTATTTACAGTTCAGATACAGCTGTGATTCAGTTACAATCAGTTATTTACAAAATAACTGAACTTAATTTACTATAGGAATACTTACTTGCTAAAGCCAAAATTAACTGACTGGTCACTCAGAATTTCAAATTGTATAGGGCGGTCACCCATGCAGTATCTTCTTAGTAGTTCTAAACATGTATATATTGTTTTCCGGGAAGGCTTGTTTTCATGAAAGAGATCTCCACCTAGTAAAATGAAGTCCACCTATAAACAGATTTTTGGGGGATATATTACTATTTACATATGCCTTTTTTCTCAAAATTATAAATTTCTAAAAACAGTTCAACTAGACCAGGGGTAGGCAACCTTGGCTATTTTATGACCCATGGACTTCAACTCCCAGAATTCCTGAGCCAGCATGGCTCAGCTTGGAAACCTCTCCCTTTCCCCTCAGCATGGCTGGCTCAGGAATTCTGGGAGTTGAAGTCCATGAGTCATAAAAGAGCCAAGGTTGCCTACCCCTGAACTAGACAGTGTTTTTGGGTTGGGGTTGTTGTTTTTTGTTTTTTTGAGAATAGATGTGGCTATTTTAGAAGTTTCAGGGGGGCACCAGATTTCAGCCTCTCCAAAGTGCCTTTTGGTCTATGAATCCTAAATCCTGCATTTCCATGCTACTAAACTCCAAATGCATCCGACATCCTTTTAAGGCTCAAAAATATACAGAAAGCAAGAGAGACGACAGCCCTTTCTAGAATTTGGCAGGTTTTATTTTTAATCCTGACTGTATAAAATAAGTTACTATGTTAATTAAAGAAGTATGGTAAGGTATCTCTTATAATGAAAAAAGAAAGAACTGAAGATGAAAAAGTACACTCAGATATGTTTGCGTTATAAAACTTCACTTAAAAGTGAATTTAATTGTCCCATTATCTGCAATTGATTTATGGGCAGTCAACATTCCTATATATCTTTAAACCAATTTTATTCATCTACTTATAAGATTCTTAACTGAGCCCAAAAGATTCTAGGTAGTATGCAAACACGGAACTACAACCTGCCATGGCAAATTTTTCATTACTGCCCAGGTCTTATTGACAGTACAATGGGCTCAGATTGGTTTTATTTTCACAATGTCATTGGTGTAATATGCAATTAATGTCCTAACAATAAGAACAATTTCTAGGAAATACAGATAGTTCTCGACTTACAACCATTCATTTAGTGACCAGTTATAACGTCACTGAAAAAAGGAACTTATGGTCATTTTTCACACAACCGTTGCAGCATTCCCTTGGTCACATGATCAAAATTTGGGCACTTGGCAATTGGCATGTACTAATGACAGTTGCACTATACTGTGGGTCACGCGATCCCCATTTGAAACCTTCCCAGCTGGCTTCTGACAAGCAAAGTCAATGGGGGAAGCCAGATTCGTTAATGACCACACAATTCATTTAACAGTTGCAGTGATTCGCTTAACAACTGTGGCAAAAAAGATCGTAAAATGAGGGGCAACTCACTTAACATCTGTCTTACTTAGCAACAGAAATTTTGGGTTCAACTGTGGTCATAAGTCGAGGACTACCTGTATGTGACCTTTCAGTGATAGTTTTGTAACGTGATTTCAGAGTGGCTTGCCTCGTTCTCTTGAGCAAGTTTCAATATTTCATCCAAGGTAACAAAAGTATCATTGCCACGACAAGCATCCTTCTCCAAATATCCAAGGTGAATGTCTGTAGCAACTAAAATTTTAAATGTGTCTTCTTCATCTCTAAAGTTAAAGAGAAACAAGCAAACAAACAAAAAAGCAGAATAGTATGGCTGCATCATTTACTGTTTCGGCATCTAATACAATGAAGTATTTTGTAAAGTTATAGATTACATTCTTCAAATGCCACCGTATTCAGTATTCATTTCATGGAATAATAGAATTATAGGGAACAATTGGGCCTCTAGAAACTTTTCCTGCTATATTTCCACAGTTAACTCAATCTCTCTGATGCTTAGAAGAATCTTTAATTATTTGAATTATTTCTTACATTTATTTATTTATTTATGAGACTTATATACTGCTTTAAGTGCAAGCACTCTCTAAACAGTGTACACCAGTAAGCAATGTATATATATATTTACATTGCCCCCAACAATCTGGGTCCTCATGTTATTTATTTATTTATTTATGAGACTTATATACCGCTTTAAGTGCAAGCACTCTCTAAGCGGTGTACACCAGTAAGCAATGTATATATATATTTACATTGCCCCAACAATCTGGGTCCTCATTTTACCTACCCCGGAAGGATGGAAGGCTGAGTCAACCTTGAGCAGGTGAGATTTGAACCGCTGACCTGCTGAACACAGTCAGCTAAAGTGGCCTGCAGTACTGCACTCTAACTGCTGCGCCACCTCGGCTCTTTATATGCAAATCCATGAGAGCACAGGGTTTTGTTTTTATATTATTGATTTAAATTACAAAAGTATTCTTTGCATCCCTTATATAATTTTCATTTTCAGCACTAATGAGGTGACAGTAAATTATAGGAACACCACAGTTGGCAAGATAGATGACTAAATCTCTTCCCCACTGATGTGAATATTGTGGAAAATTTACCTGGAAGTGGTAGAACTCATATCTACAATCAGCCTTGGCCCAATTTACAAAAGATCTCACGAAGCCAAATGAATAAAAAAACAGACAGTCAAGACCTAGGAACAACCAAATAAAAAGAATCTTAGGGTAATAAACTTGGAAGCCAAAGTATCATAATTTATTGTTTAAAATGTACTTTTCCACTGAACAAAAAAACATGCATAGAAAAATAAATGAAAACCAAGAGTCTATATAACCAGGAAAGCTCCAAGGCAACTGTGGTTTTTAGCTTTTATCACTATCACATTTTTTGTTTTGTTTTTGCAAAAAGCACTAAAGCAGGGATCCCCAACCCATAGTCCATGGACCGACACCGATCTGCAGCATGCCAGAAACTGGTCCACACAAACAAGCAAAGCCCCATCCATAGGATGCAGGCAGCATGCAAAACCATGCCCTCTCAGGTCCACAGGAAAACCTCTCTCCATGGAACCAGTCCCTGGTGCCCAAAAGGTTGGGGGCCTTTGCATTAAAGCTGCACCGCTGCTGCCTTTCAGGAAAATCCCAAAGGATTGGGGGATTTTATAGGAGGAGAGTTTCAAGAAATCTCAACATTTGTGAGTGGAATAATGAGGCACCACAAAAATTTTCTGCAGAAATTAATTTTTCTTTTCTCCACCTTTTCTCATTTTACTACGAAACAATGGACACTGTCATTCTCCTTTACCTACAGTAGGATTTTGTTGAAGGAAAGAATAATGTCCTTTCATTTTTTTTATAAAAGAGCAATCTAGCACACTCTATCCCATTTGTAGAACTTGCAGAAGGGAGACCTAATCCTAATAAGTGATTTAAGTATTAAACTTAGTCAAAATCTGAGGCCCAATCTGGTGTGATGGTTAAAATACCAGATTAGAAGCTGGAAGAACATGACTTCTAGTTTTGTCTTAGGCACAAAGCCATCAGGGTGATTTTGGACCAGCTTCTTTCAAAATCTTGTCAAATAATGGACCAGTGCAGGCAGTCTTCAGTGAATCAAAGGCATCACCAGACTAAATAAATAAAATAAAAAGTGAACACCTCTTTGGAAAGAATATGGAAACAGCAAATTACACGAAGTAGAAATTGTCTTGAGTTTTTGGCATAAGTGACTGATCCAAGCAATGAATGATTTTAGTGGACAAAAAACATGCACAGAAAAATAAATGAAAAACCAAGAGTCTATATAACCAGGAAAGCTCCAAGGCAACTCTGGCTGGTCTCAAACACTGAGAAGGGCCTGTATTATTTCAGTAAAACTAACAATTATACAGTTTCCAGAGCAACATACAATTACAATGCAAAGGAAACCAAAACCTGAGAGAATAAACACCTTCCCAAATAGGCAATCCAGCAAGTCAACTCTGCTTTTGTAATTTTTACAATATGTAAGATGTAATTCATGCAATGTAACCTCAACAGTTATAAATGTATAATATTCCAAAGAAGGAATAAGATATTAAACGAGCCAAAATCTCTGCTCTGTACTGAAACAGGAGACATTGTTCAGCCCTGATTTAAGCTGCTCTGCATCTTTCATGCAGTGACCCGTCAGCGGACTCTTATTCCACGTCCATCCCGTTCTTTAGGAAGACGAACGGAGAGGCTGACTTCAAACCAAAATGCTTAACCAGGTCGGTGGAAAACGCAGCATTCCCACAACATGCTAAACTTGGGCTGAGAGCTAACCCTACTTGGCTTTCTCATGCGGGGCAAACCCCCCCCCCCACCAAGGATTGTGTCAAAGCCAAGCAACCCAGCAGAGACAGGATGCATCAACTGCTCTGGCAGAGGAGAGTCGTCTTCTGGCGCCCTGGACTGGAATAACTTCTCTATTGCACCGAAAGGATCGTTGCGCATTCAAGCAGAGTCGTTGCGCGACTCCTGCAGAGGCACCGCAGGCAGCCTTCTCGCTGCGCTTCGGGACTCCGGCGATTCTTGGTCACCAGGCTCATTCCATCTCGTCTGCCAGCAAGGCAGAACAAGGAGGCCGCCCCCACGCTTCACCCCGCCGCCCCCCAACCCTCCCCCACTAGCAACTCCCCCTCCCCCTCCCCCCCCCCACAGTCTCACCCCGCTTTCCCTCTCCATACTTTCCCGGCCCTCTCCCGCGAGCGCCGGCAACTACTTCTCGCGAGAACCACGCAATTCCCGCCTTTCCCACAAGTGCTCCCCGAGGGGGGCTAACCTCCTGCAATAGACTCTCATTGCGCAGCCGCAAGAGTTAGCCGCTTCCGGTCAGAGGCGCCCCCCCCCTCCAGGAAGGAGTTAAATGTCCTAGACGAGAGGGGTGTGAGGCCTGTCGGGGCAGTGGAGGAGTCAAGGCTTCGGCTACTTGCTTGCTGTTGGTGCAAGGCGGAGCTCGGCTGTGGGTCTCCCTCAACACGCGTCCTATCCTGGAGCCAGGGAGGTTTTGAAGCGTGTATGCCGAGGATTATATTCATCCCATCGTCCCTTCGTGTATGCATTGATTTGTCTGTACGTGTCTAGTCTCTGCTCCCTGGATGCCCGTAAGGCTTAATTGAGCCTCCTTAAAGGTAGGGCTGGCTACTTGGTTTTAGCAGGTTGATTGAATCCTGCCCATGAGGGTTGTGGAGCTGGGCTTTTAAGGAAGAGATTGGACTGGAATGGCATAGAGCAGTGGTTCTCAACCTTTTTAATGCCGCGACCCCCAACCAGTCGTAAGTCGAGGACTACTCAACCGGTCGTAAGTCGAGGACTACTCAACTGGTGCAGCACCGTTTGCAGAATGGGACTTTTGGCGGGCTCAGCTGGGCAGAGACAGCCTGGACAATTCCTGTTGGCTTTTGAAAGCCAATAGAATTAGACTCTATTCAAGAGAGTCTATTCTATTGGCTTTCAAAAGCCAATAGAATAAAAGGGAGTAGCACAGCTAAGGAAAAGGGGGGGGAAATGGTGGATTGCGTTGTTTGGCGACCCCCGTGAAATGGTCGTTCGACCCCAAATGGGGTCCCGACCCACAGGTTGAGAACCACTGGCATAGAGTCTCCTGCTTGAGCCGGGGGTTGGACTAGAAGACCTCCAAGGTCCCTTCCAGCTCTGGTATTCTGTTATTCTGACCCCTTTGTGTGAAGGAGCCAGTTGTGATTCTTTCAGCAGAGCCTGTCTTGGGGTCCTTGGTGACTCCCTTCCCAGATGAAGAACACCCCATTAGGCCTGTAGCCTTCATCTGTGTGTGTTTTTAGCCTTGTTCAGTTATGTAGGACTGTCAGCCCTTCGAGGTAATCCAGACAGAAGCCCAAAACCATGAGCACCAGCATCACTGTTATTGTAGGTGTATAGGAACAGTATCTTGCAAGTCTGAAAGCACTTCTCCTCATCCTTATGTCTATGGAGATTCTCAGTCATCCAGGCCATGGTTGTCCCAAAGATGATTTTTTTCAAAAGGCAACTGGACTTTATTGGTTTTTCCTTGAAGCCGTTTCACTTCTCATCCAAGAAACATCCTCCATTCTGATTGAATGCTGGGGAATGGAAAGCCTGCAAAGAATATCAATCCTTCCATTCCCAGCATTCAGTCAGAACGGAAGAAGCTTCTTGGATGAGAAGCAAAATGTCTCCAAGAAAAAACAAAGTCCAGTTGCTTTTTGAAAAAAGCACTTTGGGGTCTCCTCTCCCTTGTTTTATTTTCCAGAGAAGATCCCTTCTGAGACACTTTCTCCACCCTCCTTCCTCCTCTGGGCTCTGATAATCTCTTATCAAACTAGGTTTAATACCGAATCCCCTTATTTGACAGGTCTCCCATCTGTCCTACCCTGCAAATTGGAATGGAATGCATTTGGTTGCTGGTTTATTAAAAAAATGAAAGCAGCATCTTATTCTTGCCTCCTCCATCTAAATCCCATTGTATGGAAAAGAAAATGACCCTTTCCATTCCTTCGTAGTCAAATGAGAGGAGGAAAAAAAAAACATTTGGTTCTTTTTTTCTTACTGTTTTTGTAGCACTTGTGGCTCTTCCTCCTGTCACTCAAGGTTATTTGGGTCAGTGGGTCGATGAATGCGGCTGCTGTTGGTGGTGAGCGCAGTCAATGGTTTCCTTGGACACTGGAAGTTTGTTTAGCAAGGTTTTGTTTTGATCTTGTAAATTGCCCAGAGGCATAAAATATAAAATGGGTGACTGCATAGATTACATGAATAAAATGTTATACCAAGGAAGTTATTTCATCTTATCCTGGGTATCCAGCCTTTTGGCTTGCCTGGGCTGCATTGAGTGAGGAAGAATTGTCTTGGGCCACATACAAAATATATAATATAGTTAATATATATAAATCAGAAGTTTACAATCTTGTGGGGCTGCAAACTACCTGTATGCAGCCTGTGGGATGCAGGTTGGACACACTTGATATAGAGTATTATGAACAATTACATTTTTGGATATGGACTTGAGAAGATTAAAGTAATGCAATCTTTTGAATTCTGGCTCTGCTCTTTCTTTCTAGAAATAGAAAGAAACAAGAATTTGGGATTTTTAATTAAAAAATGATTTTGGAGGGTTACAAAAGAGATTGTAAGAAAAAAGTCCTTCATATTACTTATCTGATAATGCCAAAGAAGCAATAAGATGGCTTTTTTATGGACACTTCTGAGATTACCATTCAAGATGCAGCAAATGCCTTATCTTCTTTTTCCCCCAATCATAATATTCCATTTTTTTCCTCTTTTTAAAGATGGTGGTGATGTTGCTGCCAGTAACTTTTGTTACCGAAACTCGGTTGGCAAGGCATGGAGATATGAGTTAGAAAAATAGAAGTGAAACTCTTCTGCTGTTTAGGGACGAGCAAATCAAAGCCTGCAAAATGAATGAAAGCATAACATCAGCTGACAATAATAACACAGATGAGGAGGGAAAAGACTTTGCTGATAGCTTTAACCAGCTTGAGTTACTGGAAACCCACCGTCATTTAATCCCTAGAGGAACCCAGAGTCTTTGGTCTGGAGACTCTGATGAAGAAGATCAGGAAGAAAAAACAGAGGAATGGTACCAGGCTCAAGAGAAAAAGTTGGCAAATAGCCCAGATAAGCTTCTGCTTTGGGCAGCTGAAAAAAATAGGGTAAGCCAAATGTACTACAGTATATGAAAACTCTGCATGATAAATTCATCTTCCCTGTTATTTCCTAGAGAGACTCTAGTTTGACATAAGGGGGCTTTCAAGTGACATAAGGTTGGTTTATGCCAGTGTTTCCCAAACTTGACAATTTTAAGGCATGAGGACTTCAACTCCCAGAATTCCACAGCCAGCAATGCTGGCTGTGGAATTCTGGGAGTTGAAGTCCACATGCCTTAAAATTGTCAAGTTTGGGAAACACTGGTTTATGCTATAGCCATGCTAAGGTCCTTCCAGAGGGGTAAGTGCAAACCACGTATCAATGGTTTACAGGTAGTCCTCGACTTACAGCAGTTTGTTTAGTGACCATTTCGAGTTAAAACGGCACTGAAAAAAGTGAGTTACGACTGTTTTTCACACGATCTTTTGTGCCCTTCTGACAAGCAAAGTCAATGGGGAAGCCAGATTCACCACGTGACTAGCTTAACAACTGCAGTTGATTCATTTAACCACTGCGGCAAGAAAGGTGGTGAAATGGAGCAAAACTCACTTAACAAATGTCTTGATTAGCAACAAAAAAGTTGGGCTCAGTTGTGGTCGTAAGTCGAGGAGCACCTGTTGTTTGACACTGCTGAATTGTTCAGTCATGATGCAAAGGTTTGTTTGTTTAGCCCAGGGGTAGGCAACCTTGGCTCTTTTATGACTCGTGGACCAACTCCCAGAATTCCTGAGTCAGCTATGCTGACTCAGGAATTCTGGGAGTTGAAGTCCACGAGTCATAAAAGCCAAGGTTGCCTACCCCTAGAACTTTAGCCTGAACTAAATGAGGGAGGAACGAGGATTTGCTTTACAGAATTGCAGAGATGAAATTTATGAACCCATAGAAATTTCTGAATGAGTGGCTGAACTTAGCTCTGCTGGTGAAGGATGTCGAAGATTGTGGTTCAGTAACAAATGGAGGATCATAGCTTTTCACACACACCCCTTATTGTCTGTATGCAAGTCCATCATTAGGGTTTAGAAGGAATGGAAAAATAGTTGACTTGCATCTACAGAAACCAAGACAAGTCAGAAATGATTATGATGCCTTTGGATAATAAAAGTAATTGCAGTTGGTGCCGCAGGCTTCAATATTATGAATATAAAATGAGGTAATTACAGTGGCATACACAAAGCCAGTCTGGATTGTTTTTAGAATTGTGAACTATGGCAGTGCTGTTTTGTCAAGTAGATTGATCTTTAGGAATGGGGTTATGAGGCATTGATACCTCCAAATAAATGAGAGCAAATGGATAGAGTTGCATTTTACTTGGAGTCAGTGTGAAAGAGTTTGCTTTCTTCCTGGAAATGTCATAATAAAACTGATTGTTAAAAGCAAAAAAAAGCTTGCTCGGTGTATCGTGAACTTTTAGTTGAGCAAGTGATCCCCCAGTTCTTTCAGAACTAAACTCAATGCTCTATGAAATCCTCTAGATTCTGGGTTCCCCACATCAATTTTGCAAAAATGATGGGTTTTAATGGCATGAATTTCTTTAAAATATGGGATAATAAAGACCAGAAATGTTGGGCTCTTCAACTCTGGAGATATTGTATCACAAGTCATTGCTTGTTCTTTGGAGTCAGTGCATTTGGTGAAAGTGTGGTCTTCATTCAGAGTGCGAAAGGCACTGAATCTTATAGAAAGTTGTCTAAGCTAGTGGACTAATACTAAACTCTGTCTCCATTCCCACAGCTTAGCACAGTGCAAAAGCTCTTGTCTCAAAACCTGGTGTCAATAAATGTCCAGGATGAAGATCAATATACTCCTCTTCACCGCGCTGCCTATAACGGACACATGGAAGTGGTGCGTGAGCTGATTGCTCACGGGGCAGATGTCCACGCATTGACCGTGGATAGCTGGACACCTCTGCACAGTGCGTGCAAATGGAACAACACCAAAATTGCCTCGTTCTTGCTCCAGCATGGGGCAAATGTCAACGCTCAGACCAACGGGTTGCTTACACCTCTGCACTTGGCAGCCGGAAACAGAGAGAGCAAGGAAACCCTTGAACTGTTACTCATGAATCGATACTTAAAGCCCAATCTCAGAAACAACTTGGAAGAGACGGCTTATGACATTGCTCGAAGGACTGACAAATACCATTATTTGTTTGAAATTGTTGAACACTGCACAAATTCTGTCGTAGACTCTTAGGAATTGTATACCTAACACACATGGCCAGAGCTTTTTAAAGAAATCTATTTTGTCATTGCATTCGCAGCTCTTTAGGTCATAACTTAGCAGGTGGCTCAAATGAGGCTCTGTTGAGTAACACTGACATTATTTTTATAAGATAAGTTATGTGTCTATGGAGATTCTCAATCATCCAGGTCATGATTATCCCAAAGGTGCTTTTTTCCAAAAGGCAACTGGACTTTCATGGTCTTTTTTTTTTTTTCCCCTTGTGAAAACGTTTTGTTTCTCATCCAGGAAGCTTCTTTGGGTCTGAACCTCTTGGATGAGAACGGAAACATTTTCAAAAGAAAAATAAAATCAAGAAACTCTAGTTGCCTTTTGGAAAAGAGCACCTTTGGGACAAGGTAGGCTATGCTACCCTTGTGGAACATTTTCACTTTAACTTGGAAAAAAACATGGTTATTTTGCTGCTTTCCCTATCCATTGTAAATGGAAATCATCACAGAGCCACAAAATAACATGTAAATATTCAGCAACACTGCTCAAAACATTTGCTGCTTCTTTTTAAGGAATGTGAAGTTTTAATGAGACTTAACCGGTGACTGATAATTTTCAACAGAGAAGAACATGGAATTTAAACTATTGCTAAAACCTGGGGTATTCACGCACATATCAAAGATAGCAGCTGCCAAAAAATGGAGCTACCTGATTAATAATGTGATGTGATTCAGATTTCCCAAATCTACTTCAGTGTCTGTATAAGATATAACTGTATCTAATTCCTTAGTTGCCAAACATTACATTTTGTGTGCTCAGGTTTTGCTTTTGAAAGTGACGATATGGTTACCTATGTGTAGAAGTGTTTTGTTTACATTTTTATTGATCAGGTTTCTCAGTCCTAAGTTACCTGAGTTTTCAGTTATTTTTGAACTTCATGATCAGAATTGCCAATTAATATGTCCAGTGGTCATGTTGATTGGCAGTTCAGGGAGTTGCAATTGCAGCACATTCAGAAGTCAACAGTTTGGTGAAAGTTGCTTAATAGGCCTTTGCTAAATCACATTGAGTTATTCAGTTTTTAAAATGGTTTGTGTTCTTTCAGTACCACTGCAGTTCACAAACTCAAAATTCTTTTCAGTAGCAGAATACACTACAGCTGACTGGTCCAAAGATTGCTTGGAAGTACCTTATTGTACAACTGCTTGCTTTCTTAAATTATGTTTTGAATTTTTGGAAAACTTTGGGTTCTCGTTCAGAAGTAAACTCTGAAATTTATTCACAGATGCATGAAAAAATCATCATGTGTTTGGTTCACTAGCTCTAAAGATACTTAGGGCTGGTTCACATAATTCTTTGATACACTTGAGGTTGAAAAAAAAATTCTTTGCAATTTATTTGAATTTTACCAGATAAAAATTACGTAACTCTTTCATGAGATTTTATGTGCATGTACGTGGTGATGAAGCAGCATTTGTGTTTGTGAAGAGTGGAAGATATGCTGAATGTGATACAACTGAGCTTTCTGCTAAAATGATAAGTTTGTAAGAATACAAGTATCTTTTGCTTCAGTTCAAATTTCTCCTGTGCACTGTTTGCTACTTTGAATGCTTTGTGTGAACCAGCCCTGACCTAAAATAAAATCCCTGTAAATATGGGATTTATGTGGTTTGCTGTAGCATGATGTACTTTCACTGTAAAATTAGTTGTTTTGGTTCATTAAAGTTATTTCTGAACAAGTGATTTGATGGATGTAACAAATCCAAGCTGTTAATGCCTACTGATATTGTAGTATGAAGTCCCAGTTCCATTAACAACCATGGAAGTTTTATTGACATTAGAGAAACTCTAACTGCAATTAGATATAACATATTGTAATATAATCCATAGCATGTTAGAACTGAATGCCAATACATCGCCTTGATCTTAACTCCTTGGATTTCCAACTACTATATGCCAGAATTGGGAAAATATCATTTTTTAAAAAATTAGAAAATAATGCTAATAGTTGAGGCTTAAATTTTAAAGCAATCACTTATCTTAAGGCACTTCAACGTAATGTTTTATGAACCCTTCTAAATATGTGTTTCCAGTTTGGACATTCTTAATCCATTTTATATCCAAGTATCAAATTAAGAGAGTCATCAGACCACTAGTTAAAGTTATACTACAAATTTAAACCAGCACAAAACCCATTGAGGTTTTTCCAAATAATATTGTTAATTGTTCTATCGAAAAGATATTTCTACATGAAAAAAGACTGCTAGTTATATCTTAAAATGATTCCCAGGATTCTCTAACTCTTAAATTTTCTTTATTGATTTATTTCTCCTGTTGATATATATGCCCAATTTATAATTATTCTGAGTAGCTTACAGTAAAATTAAAATCAAATCAATGCTTCAGATCTGAAAAACTAAAACTGCTAGCAGCTCTGGACGATCACTCAGTTCCATAAAATGCTTCTTAAAAATATCTCTCTGGCTCACTCAACACTTTGACCCAATCTCAGTGGGAACAGCCAAATCTTCTGTGTCTTCAGGGTTTCATTCAGATTTAAAAAGGAATAGCCAGAGGGTGGTGCTCTGAGGAACACGTCAAAGCAGGACTCTCAGCCTCTCTCTCCCTACAAACACTGACTGGAATCAGCTTTGGAAGAAGGAGAACCGCTGCAATACTATGATTCCATTCCTATCCTACATTGGTCCAGAGGGATACCATGATCAATGTACTGATCTCAACGGAAGGAAGGAAGCTCAGGATTCATTTTGCAGGTCCCATCCTGAGGCCTCCAGAGACCATCTGCAATGTGATCAACACAGTCTCAATATTATACCTAAATTAACAGATAATCCATTTTTTTTAGGACCGCTCCCACCCTGTTGGTTTTCTGCAAGCTGCTTAAGACCTGGCTTTTCCGGCAGGCTTGGGGTTTATAAAATCTGACCCCTGGATGAATGTTACTGTATTGTTTGTCTTGTTAAGTTATATTGTGTTTTTATTGTTAGCTGCCCGGAGTCCTGCGGGAATGGGGCAGTCTATAAATTTTAATAAATAAATAAATAAATTATGGACCTTCTTAGTTGCAGCACAGTTACTTTCTCCACAACTTTCTCTCAAAAGGGGAAGATGGAAACTTTGAAAGTTATCCAGTACGGTATAATTAAGTCCAGTGATGGTTTCTTGAGTGAAAATGAACCACCATCTCAAAAGTGCAGATGGGACCACCACCCGCTAAAGAATGAGTTAATAATTGCCTAAACCCAATCACATGTCACTTTACACAAGTAATATTAATTTCCATGGAAATCTGATCTATTGCATGCAAAATGTATAGTAATGCACTCCAAGAAACTCCAGTTTCACAGATAATCTGATAATTATAATTATAATCTGATAATTTCAACCTGTTCATCTTTTTGTTATTATATTGATGTATTTTCATTTTCTTTTTCGTTGTTTGTTTTATTCTATTGTTTTCTCTTTTTCACACTTCATTTCTTATTATTATAAGCTGCCTAGAGTAGCCGCATGGTGAGATAGGCAGCAAATAAATTTCACAAATAAACAAATACCATCTGCTATCCCTAGTAGTAAAATATCATTGGATCTTTATCAAGCATCTTTATCAAAGTATATTTTTCTGAAATAGACGTAGGTACAATCACATTCCCAGCATCTGGAATGTCTGAATAGTATCATTTTAAATAATTTTTGATCATTTTGTAGAGATCTTTTTTCTATCTAAGAAGATTCAAGCACAAAGGTATGATTGTAACGCCTCTTCTTTTGATGGCACTTCTTGGCTGACTTTCACTGCACGTTGTCTGGACCAGAAACATAGCTTGTTTTCTAACTCATTGGCTCATTCTTCCCGGAATACTTTTTACTTCATTGGCCTGTGACCAAATGGTTTCCCTTCAAGCATAGTTAGCTCCCTAATATTCTCATCCATATTCTGCAGGTGATACTTCCTTTGTCACAGCCTGGCAGAACAAAATGTTTATGTCTGCACACTATTCTAATATCGCCCAAAATAAACCTCAGGCAGACCTGACTTAAGACCTCCAAAGACACTTCCTGGGTACCCAACCAGCTTTGCTTGATGAAGAGATCTTGGCGATTATCATGCAACTTCGCAGTTAGCGCCTCCAACCAGTAACTTGAAAACCACCTGCAGGCCCAAAGATGACCCTGTTCCAAGGTGGCCACCATTCAGGACACTATTGGACTTCACTACCTACAATCTTTCAGCCAGTATGGTTTTTGCCCACCCTGGCTTGCTAGAGGCTGCTGGGTGGAGGGAGGGGGAGGTGTTAATCCCAATAATTAGAGGGCGACAGGTTGGGGAAGACTTCGGGTCAGCAACCAGGTGGGCTTCGGGCGTGGCCTGTGTTGCCAAGGCAACCTGTGATCGCCCCCGCTCGAGGCCGATGGACTCGGCTCTCCTCTGACCCGGGGCCAGGGCGTTTCCCTCTTAGCTCCGCCCAGCTTTCAGCCACACCGCTCTGCCGGGTGTGAGGCGAAAGCGCCGGCTTCATCATCTTCTCCCTCCCTCCTCTTCCTCCTCCGCCACTCCCCCTTCAGCAGCAGCAGCCGCCGCCGCCGCAGCAGCAGCAACCTTGGGCTCCTATGGCAACCAGCCTGCGCGTGCCGCTGGCCTGGGCGCGGCTGACAGGAGCAAGCAAGAGCAGCCGCCGAGGACGAGACATGCGAGCGTCCACCGGGGAACCGCTGGAGCCCAAGGCGGGGGACTCGGGCAGCCGGATCTACGGCGAGAGCAACGATGGGGGGCAACCCTGTGAGTGGGGGCTCGCGCGCGCCCCGGGTGGAAGGTCCCTTGCGGAGCGAGACTCTTCCTTCCATGCTGCTTTTATCCAAGGAGTGGAGAAGACTTCCAGGTTTTGGGGGTTGGGGGGGGGGACTTCAGCCCCAGCAATTGGAAATAAATGGGCAACCCAGGGTGGGTGGAAAGCAAATGGGGGAAGGCTTCTCTCTGTGGCCTGAGAAAGCCCCTGTTGGGGAGAACAGTTTGCAGAATTAAGTGATGGATATAGTCTGTGGGAGAAGGACCTGCATGCCAGCCTGCTGTGGATCAGTTGCCTCCTTGCACCCAGCATGTCTGTGCAAGAATTCCCTCTTGCTTCTTTAAAAGGGGACTGCTGGTGACATCATGGGCATGTCCCTGTCGTTGTCTTGGCAACAGTACAGAAGCAGTTTGCCCATTCACTTATACCTGGATGTTGTTGTTGTTGTTTTCAATTTCCCAACCGAATCCACAGCCTTCAGATTTCCAAATATTAAGGAGTTCTGTTGTTCCAAGCTTTTTGAGATCTGCCAAATTATTATTGAGGAATGACATCATGCCTTATTTTTATAAATAACTCAAGGTGGCGAAGACACACAAGTTGCTCAGAGTCAGCTTGTCAGCTTGTAGGTGAGATGGGCAGCACAGTAAAATAAAATATTCCTTTCTACTATTTTCTCCACAACAACGACCCTGTGAGGTTGGTTGATCTGACAAAATTGGACTGGCCAAAATCACCAGTAGGCTTTCATGCCTAAGAACTCACAGTCTCCTGGTTTCTGGCCTGGTGAGATCCTCGTTACCATTGAAATGAACAGGTCTGGTTTGTTCTCTCTCTTGTACAGAAATAAATAAAGATCATCCAACACTTGGTCTCCTCCAATATGGAAGTTGAAGCCCAGGATCTCGGAACAATGCCCTGGTTTGAGAAGTATACAGAATACAGAATAATAGAATTGGAAGGGACCTTGGAGGTCTTCTATTCCAACCCCCTGCTCAAGCAGGAAACCCTATATATCATTTCAGACAAGTGTAAACCCACAACATCTGAAGGCAAGGTGTTCCACTGGTTAATTGTTCTCACTGTCAGGAAATTTCTCCATAGTTCTAGGCTGCTTCTCTCCTTGATTAGTTTCCATGCGTTGTTTCTTGTCTTGCCTTCTGGTGCTTTGGAAAATAGATTGACTCCTTCTTCTTTGTGGCAGCCCCTCAAATATTGGAACACTGCTATTATGTCACCCCTAGTCCTTTTTTTCTCTACACTAGCCATGCCCAAATCTTGCAACTGTTCTTCATGTTTTAGTCTCCAAGCCCTTAATCATCTTAGTTCTTCTTTGCACCCTTTCCAGAGTCTCAATATCTTTTTTATAATGAGGTGATCAAACTGGATGCAGTATTCCAAATGTGGTCTTACTAAGGTTTAATAAAGGTTATTCAGTCTGATATCCAATTCCATTCTGCTCTGCTCTGCAGTGATGAGTCTCACTAACTAGGATTATTATTAAGGGATTAATACACAGAATCATAGAAACTGAAAAAGCCCCGATTATAGCAATTATTAATGAATTCTCTAAAGGTCTCAGAGAGCTGTTTTTTCCAGAATGCAAGACTGAAGAGTTAATCATTCTTTTCTAATGGACTTGGAATACTTGTTAACAATATAGTGGGATATTTCTGCTTCTTTCCCAGCCCAAGTCAGTCTCAAAGACCTCTTTCCATGGATTATTAGGTCTGATAAATGTATGGCTGTGAAAGGTGGACCATAAGAAAGGCTGAGTGCAAAAGAATTTAGGCCTTTGAACTATGGTGCTGGAGAAGACTCCTGCGAGTCCCCTGGACTGCAAGGTGATCAAACCGGTCAGTCCTAGAGGAGATCAACCCCGACTGCTCTTTAGAAGGCCAGATCCTGAAGTTGAAACTCAAGTACTTTGGCCACCTAATGAGAAGAAAGGACTCACTGGAGAAGAGCCTAATACTGGGAAAGATTGAGGGCAATAGAAGAAGGGGACGACAGAATGGGGTGGCTGGATGGAGTCACTGAAGCAGTAGGAGTGAGCTTAAATTGACTCCAGAAGATGGTAGAGGACAGGAAGACCTAGAGGAACGTTGTCCATGGGGCGCGATGGGTCGGACACGACTTCGCAACTAACAACAACAAATAATTGCTCTGCCATACGAATAGAAGCTTTGCTTAACTTTTTTTCCATTTCCTATTCTTAATGCCTAAACTTGGTTTTTATAAATTCCTCCAAGAGGAAATAAAGCATGATTATTATTCAGGTCACTTTTCTTAAATATTATGTCTTGTCGCCATAAGATGTTTAGAATATTTATAAAATACTAGAATATGGTTTGATTTAATACTCTATTTTGATAAAGCAAGCATACTATTTGCGAATTCCTCAGTTCATTCATTGAAATGATCTTTTCTAAAACAGGGAAGAAGTTTGTGTATGTTGAACCACCAAGGAGAGTTAGGGAAGTACTTGAGGAAGAGCTGTATTTCCAGAGAGATGAGTGCAGAATTAGACACCCTTCAGAAGGTAAGCTTTGGAAAACAAGGTAACTGGGAGAATTTCAAATTCTGAAGTGTTTATAAAGGGAAGCTTTCATCCGTATACTAACCTGCCTTAGTGATTTCCAGCAATTTGCAAAAATATAACATCTACTCCAAACACTGGTACAAAAAAATTTAAATAGTAACAGCAAAAACAGCCAGAAGCAAAACCACAGATATTTAGTTATCCTTTCAAAGCCCTTTGGAATCATTTGATGGTACTGATGGGACAAGTCTCACTTCTAAGAACAGAAAGTGTTGGGAATATGAAGAAAGTTCTATTTTAAAAATAGGTCTGCTTCAGGAGATATATAAAATCACACGGAAAGTAGATTTGCTACTGTATTTGTGTAATCTGTTCTCTTGGAGTTGGAGCTGGTCTATGAGGTGATAAATTAATCCAAAGCAAGAGTTGGTGAATTTAAGACCCATAAAACATCCCCAGACCATCGTAAATAGTTGTGCAGCCCTCCCCCACCATCACGTGATCATGTTTTGGCATTTGGCAGCCGGTCACCTTTATGACCAGTTTTGGTGTTCTGTGGTTACGCGACTGCAGGGTGTGACATTTTTTGCTGGTTTCCAGCAAGAAATGCCTACTATTCAAATGAATGGATTTGCATTTATAACCACCACGTTCACTTAATCACTATCATGTTGGCTTAACAACTGTTGCCAAAAAGGTCATAAAATCACTTCTGGTCATGTGGGAGCCTCAGTTTACAACTGTAACAATTTATGACTGGATTTCCAATCCCAACTGCAGTCATAAGTTAAGGACTATATGTACACTTACATGGACCACTTCCTGCCCCTGAGCAGATGAAACATTATAGATCCTAAATGGGGCATTTCAGCTTTTCTTTTTTGCTCACAGGGTTCCAATTAGCTTCAAAGCAATCCTTGTTTATGGGTCTGTAAAGCAAAAAAAGGTAAATAAGAAATAAGATAATAAAATTGTGACGTTCCACTTAATTGGTTTTGATTAAATCCCAGGACTCAATTGTGGTTGCAATACAATACAATTATAATAATGCTCTTCTATATATTATGGACAGTGGCTCTGGAAAGAATTTGGAGCTTGAAAAGAAATTTTCCTGTGGGAGGCTTCAACCCAGCTTCACAGAATCAAAGCTGCTTCCTTTCTCAACCTTATTACTCCAGGCATGCAGTCATAAGAAGTAAGAATGTAGTATCTCCTTTCTTTCCTGCTCCCCCAAACCAAAAGTGTGCATTTTAAACAAAAGAATGACATAGTGATTGCTAACATTCATTACATTCATTGCTCGCTTCCATTTACTATACATAGAAGAGAGCTCACCAGGCATTGGATCGTATAATAACTAGCTGCTATTTGAGAGTTTATACAGGAGGAAAAACAGATTTTCTCCAACTAACAAATATGCTTAATTGAATAAATGGCCTAGTTGTTAATATATAGAATACATTCTATTTTTATGAACCAATGTATTTCAAAATGTACAATGTATTTCAAAATGTAACCTAAATATAAGTTACAAGTTACATTTTTAAATATATTGGTTCACTTCTTGAATTGCTCATACCTTACAAAATTGACTACATAGAATAATATAGAATAACAGAGTTGGAATGGATCTTGGAAGTCTTCTAGTCCAACCCCCTGCTTAAGCAGGAAATTTCCATTATACGTGTACCATAGTATCATGTACTCCTTTTATATATATTTTACTACTGTTATCTATGTACTCTGTGCCATACACTAGATAGATAGATAGATAGATAGATAGATAGATAGATAGATAGATAGATAGATAGATAGATAGATAGATAGATAGATAGATAGATAGTTAGATGATAGAGATAAATAGATGGATGAGAGGTACTGTCTCTAACCAAGAGATGGGGGGGAACCCTATTTCTCTATAACTCAGGAAAGTGCATTTTTTAAAAAAAAATATTAATCTAAAAATTATAATATTGCTTCTGGTTTTTGCCTTAATACATCTTTCCCCCTGCAACATCTATTTCTAATAATTACCTGCAATTTTGAATCACAAAAGCAGCATTCAGAAGTTCAACATACCAAAGATAGTTTTCCAACTTATAGTATATTCACAATGATTTTTTTTAGTTAGGCCTCCAGCCTATATTCACAACAGGATTTCACCTTATATTACCAACCGACTGGACTACAGCTCTTTTAATAATTTTAATAATTCTGAATAATTTTTCAAGATGGATTAGCTGGAAAAGAAAGGCTGTTTAATCCATGTTACCCAGTTATATCATACTGATTCTTCTGAATGCCTTCTAAACCAGTGGTCCTCAACCTTTTTAAAGCTGCGACCCCCAACTGGTTGTAAGTCGAGGACTATTCAACCAGTCGTAAGTCGAGGACTACTCAACTGGTGCAGCACCGTTTGCAGAATGGGACTTTTGGCGGGCTCAGCAGGCAGAGACAGCCTGGACAATTCCTATTGGCTTTTGAAAGCCAATAGAATTAGACTCTATTCAAGAGAGTCTATTCTATTGGCTTTCAAAAGCCAATAGAATAAAAGGGAGTAGCACAGCTAAGGAAAAGGGGAAAAAAATGGCGGACTGCGTTGTTTGGCGACCCCCGTGAAATGGTTGTTCGACCCCAAATGGGGTCCCGACCCACAGGTTGAGAACCACTGTTCTAAACCGAAGATATAAAGCAGCTCTCAGATTCATGGCTAGTTTTAAATTGTCTTCTGTGGATTGGGGATATATTTCTTTTTGAACTTTTAGATCAGAGATGGATATCTTTTGAAGTTTTAGTTCCTGATTACTAGAAGCCAGTTCATGTGTGAACTTTGCTAATGGATGATCATTATAGCACACAGAAACCGTTGTCCTATAACAGGGGTATCAAACTGGCGGCCCACGGGCTAGATGCATCATATAGCAAAACCACGCCCACGCCCACCCCCATTGCCGGCAATGGCAAAAAAAGTCGCAATATGTCATGACACGTCACGTGACATTGCGAGTTTGACAGCCCTGCCCTATAAGATGTTAGGCAAATCCTGATTGCAACAGCTGTCACCCCATTGATATCCAGGGTTGATGTAGCTGATCCGGCTGACCAAGCCATTCAGTGACCTTCAAGATTGAGCTGAGATATGAACACTACTTTTCCCAATGTCTATTGAGATTCTCAGTCATCCAGGTCATGGTGTCTCCAAAGTGTTTCCTTTCAAAAGGCAACTGGACTTTCTTGTTTTGCTTGAAGAAAGTCCAGTTGTCTTTTGAAAGAAAACACCCTTGGGACGCCAAGACCTGGACAATTGAGAATCTCCATAGACGTTTAGCTATGCTCTTTGGGATGAACACCTTTCAAATTGTGCAGGACTATGAAAGGATTTCCAGAAAAAAAAATGGCAAACTACAGGATTCAGGTGACCCTGAGAGCACAGGTAAACCTCCAAGTGATCTCAACCGACTGTCCGAAAGAGAGCTAATGACCATATGACTGCAAGGTATATAAATCCTTCCATTCTCCACCATTCAGTCAGAACTGAAGAAGCTTCTTGAAGCAAAACATCTTAAAGTCCAGTTGCCCTTTGAAAGAAAATACCTTTGGAACTACTCTTCCCACTTTTAATTGAACAATTTAACTGACATATCTAGGAATAAAATGTTTAGAGTTGCTTAGTTCTTCATTGCATCACATTTTAAAATGAGTTTTCAATTTGGAGAATTTCACATTGCACAAGGTTCAAATTTCTCAGATTTGTGAAGGAAGCCACTTCATTTTTTATTTACCAAAAATTCACGTTGTTGGGGCCCTAATTATCTATATTTCATTAATACTGTATTCTGTCCTTATTGGAAAAGACTCTGTTTGTGTAGGAATGTCTATGATAACTTAAGTAGAATTCCACCTTCCATTTAAGAAGAATTACTTGATTCATTCTACTCAGGATGAAATCATATTTATTTGTTTAAAACAAGGCCCTGGAGCAATTTTGTGGTTCAACTGCTCCACAAATGTAATACTTATGAATCTCCATTTTGATACTTTCTCCTTTCTAGGGTAGTCATTCTGAAAAACTGAATCTCCTTTGATGGAAGTCACAGAAGAAAAGCAAATCTATCGCTGTCAATTTTATTTGAACATAGACAACTATATTTTAGTATGTATAAAGTTGCTTATAAAATAAATTTTGAAGCTATGCACCTGCCAATCAGTGTATCTAAGATGATCATCTATGACTTAGCTCACTATTCAGTAGTTCACTACTTCGTAATAAAAGGGTCCTGTCTCTCCAAATGTGTATGGGGTTTCTTTGAGTAATTTTTGAAGATTGTATTTGATATTTGTAAAGTCCTCAAAAGTTGTTATAGCACGGTAGTAGCTTGAGTAAATAGAAAACAAGTCTGCCCTTAACTTTGAACTCTATTACTCATGGTCCTGTTTCTTTTGTATGATTGTTAGACTGGCCTCCGTCAAGGACAGTTTCGATCTGACAACAAGTGTGCTGCTTTTTCAAACTCTCAATCAGAATAGACATGGAGGGGACCTTGGAGGTCTTCTAGTCCAACCCTCTGTTCAAGCAGGAGACCCTATACCAGAGGTAGGCAACCTTGGCTCTTTTATGACTCGTGGACTTCAACTCCCAGAATTCCAGCTGGCTCAGGAATTCTGGGAGTTGAAGTCCACGAGTCATAAAAGAGCCATGGTTGCCTACCCCTGCCCTATACCATTTCAGATAAGTGGCTGTCCAATCTTTTCTTAAAAGCCTCCAGTGATGAAGCACCTACAACTTCTGAAGGCAAGTTGTTCTATGGGTTAATTGTCCACTGTTGATTGATTAAGCCAGTGGTTCTCAACCTTTTTAATGCCGCGACCCCCAACCAGTTGTAAGTCAAGGACTAAACAACCGGTCGCAAGTTGAGGACTAAACTGGTCGTAAGTCGAGGACTATCCAACCAGTCGTAAGTCAAGGACTTTCCCTGCCCAGGAGCGCCACCCATGCGTGGTGCCGCCCCCTGCGCCGGCCGAGGCGTAGCTGGCAAGTGGCAGAGATGGAGCAGGCCGACCACCGGCTGGGCCACCAGCTGGCCCAGCCCAAGGGAGGTAAGGCACCGGGCCCCATGCGCGCCAGCAACCCTCCCTGCGCCCGCTGGCATCCCACCTCCCACCCCTGGCCGTCTTTTACTTACATTTTTAGTAGTTGCTCAGCAGAGAGGGCTGGAAACTTCCAGACAGCTCGCCTTCGCTGCAGACAACTTGCAGCACCGTTTGCAGAATGGGACTTTTGGCGGGCTCAGCAGGGCAGAGACAGCCTGGACAATTCCTATTGACTTTTGAAAGCCAATAGAATTAGACTCTATTCAAGAGAGTCTATTCTATTGGCTTTCAAAAGCCAATAGAATAAAAGGGAGTAGCACAGCTAAGGAAAAGGGGGAAAAAATGGCGGACTGCGCTGTTTGGTGACCCCCGTGAAATGGTCGTTTGACCCCAAATGGGGTCCTGACCCACAGGTTGAGAACCGCTGGATTAAGTTGTAGCTGGTACAGGAGAGATAAAGAAGGAATTGCTTAAAGCTATGGAGGTAGGAGAGAGGGAGATTTATTGGGTTTTTTTCCCATCCTTTTTCAAACACAGTCTTCCAGGCTACCATGTTTCCCTGATAATAAGACTAGATCTTATATTAATTTTTGCTCCAAAAGATGCATTAGGACTTATTTTCTGGTTAGGTCTTATTTTGGGGGAAATAAGGTACTAAATGCATCTGTCTGTCTGACGATCTTAACCCGGGCTTATTTTTGGAGTGGGGCTTGTATTACGAGCGTCCTGAAAATCATGCTGGGGTTTACTTTGTAGTTGGCTCTTATTTTCGGGAAAACGCGGTATTTGAGGTAAAAGATTTCTGAGGTAGCAGTAATCAGCAGTCCTGGTAGTGCTCGAATTACAATCATTTATTTACAAACTGTTTGCTGGAAAAAGTGTCTTACAGCTGGTCCTTCCACTTATGACCATTGCAGATTCCTATGGTCAAATTTCAGGCATTAGGCTACTGGCATGTAATTATAATGGTTGCAGCATTCCAGGTCATTTGATTGACATTTGCAACTTTCCCAGCTGGCTTGCCACAAGCAAAGTTAACTGGGCAAGCCAGATTTGATTGACCAACTGCAGTGATTCACAACAACTGTGGGGGAAAGTGCATGTCTCACTTAACAACTGCCTTGCTTAGCAATGGAAATTCTGCTCCCAGTTGTGGCTATAAGTCGAGGACTGCCTATAAGGGATTGGAAGCCAGTATCTATTCCTCAAAAACCATGGTCTCCATTGCATTTGCACGCCCATCTCCAAGTCTATCTGCCTGAAATTCTAGAATTAGTTTACCTCTGCCTTATCCGCCACTACAGCAAAATGAAAATTACCTCAGTTTTTGGTTCCATGTTAGAGGAATATTTAATTCCACCCCAGTCTGAGAATGGATAGTGGGTTTTTCCAGTCACAAATTTATCCTTGCTGGTGAGAAACTTCAGTAATATTCCAAAAATGTTTCAAGCATTATATTAAAAGTGGGGGGGGGGGGTTTGCACCATCACCTTTTCTTAGAAATGAAACTTCTTCAATTCCCCTTTTCCACCATTTCTTCCATCTTTTCTGTCTGTAAAGAAAATCTGTTAGGGAGGAAAAAATGTCCCTGATAACATAAGCCATTTCATTGCTAGGAACGTGGGAGTTCTTGTCTTAGTGTGCTGGCAAGGGGAAATGGTGAACATGTGGACACCATTAAGGACCAACGTGAGTACAGCTCCCAACTGACAGGCTAGAGAAGATAAGCTTCCAATTACCATTTTATTGTTATTCTGAGAAACATTGTTTTTTTCTTTGTATGATGCCCACGACACACTTCTGTTTTGCAAGGTTGTTTTATTAGATATTATTTTTTTAAAAGGCCCAGTTTTTAAATGTTTTATTTTTATTTTGGCTTTCATGTAATTTTATATTTTATATTATTTTAATTTAAAAAGTGAGCAGAAAGTTAATATTCTACAAAGTAAGCCACCATTTTCAGACACCTATATTGCTAAAAAAATATTGCCTCCTATATATATGATATATATATAGTGTTCCAATATCTAAGGGGCTGCAACAAACAAGAGGGGGGGGGGTCAACCTCTTCTCCAAAGCATCTGAAGGCAGGACAAGAAGCAATGGATGGAAACTAATCAAGGAGAGAAGCAGCCTAGAATTAAGGAGAAATTGTTAGAACAATTAACCTGGCTTCCTTTAGAAGTTGTGGGTGCTCCAACGTTGGAGGTTTTTAAGAAAAGATTGGACAACCATTTGTCTGAAATGGTGTAGAGCTTCCTGCTTGACCAGGGGGGTCGGACTAGAAGACCTCCAAGGTCCCTTGTTATTTTTTTATTATGCAATGGAACCCATTGCTTCCAAAGGCTCCTGACTCCTGAAAGAGGGCTACTAATTTTGATGCACTGTTCTAAGAAATATTCCTGCATTTGCACTGTAAGTTGAGAATGACAGAACCTTTGCAGTTCCTGCTTCCTCCGTTGAGGAGGGAGAACACATCCTAAGAGTCTCTCTATCAATAAAAAAAGACTGTTGGGTGTTTTGAAGTAAAATTAACGACATTGGGAGACTCAGTCTCCCAGTAAGAGATCACTCAAGTTTAGCCCTGAATTGGACATGGCTAGAGATCCATAGTCTCACAGACCCCTTATCTTCTATCTCAAATCCCAATGATAAAAAAAGAAGCAAAAAAAAACCAGGACTAGAATCTTTATAGTCCCTGTCGGCTGTTTAGCTGCGGAAATGAGAAGAGTTTCAAATTCCATCAGGTTGTTCCTTTTTGTCACGCTCCACAGCAGTTTTTTTCGTATTTTTGAGCTCCCTTACACAATGCACACATGGCTGGCACCTGTATCCCAGGGAATAGCCTTATTGCTCTTTTGATAGATGTTACAAACAGCCTCACAACATCACAACCCCCCTCTTCCGAAAGCAATCCAGTTTTGTAAGCTAATCTAGTATCGGGGAAATTAGATAAACTTTTCAAACCAATTCCCTCAAGTTTCTTCTTGTTTCAATCCTCCCCCCCCCCCGAATGAAAATATTTCTGGTTGCCCCTATCAATCTGAAATGATATATCCCAAGTGACAGACCTGGGGCTAACATTAAGAGGGGAAAAGATCAAATCCCAGAGGTAGAACAACTGCCTTGCGGAAGAGGACAAATTAACTCCCTGCCACACATAAAAAAAAGAAAAAGAAATGAGTGATTACTAGAGATACAAACAACCCTGTTTACTCAAAGGGTGATGTCCTTCAATTTAAAGAACCCTACAAAAGACAGATGGAAAACGATATCATTTTGTATTTACACATTTGTGATGGCTATCCCAATTTAAATAACTTCATTTGGGGGAATGGAACTAATTTGCCTTTTGGGTAAACATAGCAGTAAAATCAACTGTGTTTTTTAAAAATACGTTTCACATTTCTGTTACCCCATAGAAAAGACCGAAATCTCTCTTAAGTCTATCCCTGTTTGAGTTTGAGTTAATTTTGTTCATTTGAATATATCTTATATCTGCTATTACTACATTTATAACTTCAATTCACTTGTATTTCATTTATTCATAACATTTATCTCACATCTGTGTTGTTTTTAACAATCCCAGAGTAAGAATTGTGTGTTGTATTTATTGTTATCTTTGTAAATTAAGTTTATAATTTTTTATGTATTTTGATGTGTCTTGAAATATAATAACATAGAAACTGTTTCGTAGGTGGAGAGACAATTATCCTAAAAGGGCAAGCAGTTATATATATACGAATAAAAACGAATAGTAAATAATCTGTCCTTTATTTCTTCATGATTGCTTCACATATGGAAATCTCACCACACATTCTTTGGTCCTCATATTACAACAAAAGAGATTTTGTTTCAATCTTATAGTTTGGTACAGGACTTGCCAACAATTCAAGCTTATAAATGGAAGGGTTGGAAATGACAGATTGCTAAAAAGTCAACAAAATGTTCCACTGAAAGTCAAATTCTGTGGCAAATACTGAAATATGTCAAAATACAAACATTTATTTCATATAATTGTATGCTACACTGCTTTTTATTATTAGAAATATTGAAGCAGGGTACAATAAGTAGATGTAAACAATAAATTGTAAACAAATAATTGTTTTGCTGCCTGAAGTGCTACCTATTATGTGAAGATCTAATACTACCGGTAATGCTAAAAAAAAATAGATCGAAACAGTATTAAAATTGCATATTCAA